AATTCTGCCATCTTTGTTCAAGTGAAGATAATTTCAACCTGCTTAGGAGCAAAACAAATTTTAAGAGTAAATCATTCTGCCGGATGAAGTGGCTCATGCCTGTAATCCCAGCACTTTGGGAGGCTAAGAAAGGCAGATCACTTGAGGTCAGGAGTTTGAGATCAGTCTGGCCAACATGGTGAAACCACATCTCTATTAAACATACAAAAATTAGCTGGGCATGGTGGCGGATGCCTGTAATCCCAGCTATTTGGAAGGCTGAGGCAGGAGAATCTTGAACCTGGGAGGCAGAAGCTGCAGTCAGCCAAGATTGCACCACTGCACTCTAGCCTGGGCGACAGAGTGAGACTCCATCTCAAAAAAAAGAGTAAATCATTCTGAGGTAAAGATATTAGATATAGGAATATGTGAGACTTTGTCACTACCTTATTCTTTAATTTCATTTAAATTACATAGTACATATCTGATTAAGAAGATCCAAATTAAAATTCACCTCTGCATTTATGGATCCAAAAGGAGGCTTATAGACCAATAGACCTATCGGGAGGGTGGTGCTATGTTGCACTGTATAAAATAACCTAAATAGCCCAAAATACTTAGAAAACAATCATCCTAACCCTTACCAGAAAATCTCCAAATTAAGTGACTCCTCTATCAAAAATCTCAAGGATGAAATGCTTAGTCTTACATTAGGTAAAATATTTCAGAAGGTAATTTATTCATCTATTTTGTCAAATATAGCTTACTTTACTATGTGTGTAAAACTGTGGTAAATCTTACCTGTGCTTAAGAAAACATAAAATTGCTCATTAGAGAGCCAAGTTGAATGAATAAGATGTATTCTAACTTTTAAGTGCTTGTTAGTGGAAGTCATTTACATTGTTTTGCTTCCTAATTTAAATTTATTGATGGCCCTAGAGACACAGAGATGTTTGCTGTAATACACATTGCTTCAACAATGCTCATACACTCTCACCTCCTCTACCTGTCAGAGGTAATTTCTAAAAACTCGTCCCACAGACAATTAACAAATAATTTTCATTGACCTAAAAAGAAAATTTTATAACAGGACATGATGGAAATATTTCTTTTCCTAGTATCTTCTTATAACACGAATCACAAGATTCTTATTTTAAAAAAATAGCATGGTGAACATTCTTTATCTGTTGGTTTTTAGTAGTTTTCCTGAAGAATTCCAATTATTCACTGAAAAGTTCATTTAAATTGGAGAGTATACCTCTTCGAAACATATCCCACGTCCATCCCCAGCTTTCCTCCTCCATTACTCCCCACCACCTTGACCCAAGGCTGCTACCTGTCGCCTCCCAGCTGGAATCCCTGACTCCCCTTTACAAGAGAGTTTTTTTGCACTGCAGACATAATGATCTTTTAAAAATGAGAAAATGACAAATTTTCTGCATAAAGCCTTCAGAAGACTTTCTATAGCACTTAGCATGAAACCCAAATCCTCCACCAGGGCCTCCAGGCCCTATGTAATCTGACCCATGCCTCCCAATTTTTCAAGGCAGATGGCCTCTCCACTCCTTATTCCAAGCTCATTCCCAGTTCAAGGTCTTTGTATTTGTCATTCCTTTTGTCTGGACCATTCTCCAACCAGATCTTAGTCTGCCTATGGCTTCTCATCACTCAGGTGTGAGCTAAGTTGTCTCCTCCATAGAGAGCTCTTTCCTGACCATCTTATCACCTTATTTAAGTCTTCCGGCCAGGCACGGTGGCTCACGCCTGTAATCCCGCACTTTGGGAGGCCAAGGCGGGCGGATCACCTGAGGTCAGGAGCTTGAGACCAGTCTGACCAACATTGTAAAACCCTGTCTCTACTAAAAATACAAAATTAGCTGGGCACGGTGGTGCATGCCTGTAATCCCAGTTATTCAGGAGGCTGAGGGAGAAGAATCACTTGAACTCAGGAGGCGGAGGTTGCAATGAGCCAAGATCATGCCATTGCACTCCAGCCTGGGCAACATGAGCGAAACTCCATCTCAAAAAAAAAAGTCTTCCTTGCTCTGCAAACATTTTATTTGTAATCTGTTATCCATCTCTTCGTACTAGAATGTAAGCTCCATGACAGCAGGCAACTAATCTGTTTGCTTTCATTTCTATATTCCCAGCACAGCATCTAGCACACAGCACCCAATGCTGTTGATGAATGTTAATTACACTAGCACAGTAGTTACGAGCCTGGGCTTTGCAGTTGGGTCAATCAGGATTCAAATACCAGGTTGGAAATTTACTATCTCTGCAACTTATTTGAACAAATTCTTTTTAAAGACTTGATTTCTTTATAAAATAGAAACACTTGTGGGGCAAAATAAATCCAGATTTAAATGAGGTAGGTGGGATTCATTTCCTCAGCCAGAGCTAAGGCTGTAATTCAAGACTTTCTCTTAATTCCCAACCTCAAACTTAAGATGTCATGAAGGGGAAAAACAGCAAACTTTCAGTCATTCTTATGTAATAATTTTCTTTCAGAGACCTAAAATCGCAGTATTTTAAAAGCACATACATAGGCTTCTGAGGTCAGACCGCCTAAGTTCAAGCCCGCTCCTGTGCTTACTGCTGGTGGTGATGCCCACTCCCGGGCCTCAGCCTCCTCAGGGAAGAACAGCACTTCCATCAGGCAGCAACGCCAGGGGAACCCTTGGCATCTCAGTGCTTTCTCAATGGTAGGCACACGATCCCCCCTTAGTATCTGACTGAATTGAAAATACTTCTTGCTTAGATTCAAGATCTACTACCAAGAATTAATTTCACTAGAAGAAAAAAGTGCACTTTCCAATATGAAAATATGAATGACATTAAAGCCATGTCAACAGATGAATACTGGATGGTGCACATAACAAGCCAGTGACCCCCATCAACTCAGGGGTCCTCTGGCCATGAGCAACTGATGGCTTTGAAGATCATCATCGCTCTTAGAATTTTATTCCAACACTGTCTCACATTATATTGTCTATTTGCAGAGGCTCATAGGAAAATTTCCAATACTACAAAGAACATCATAAAAAGACCCTTTAATGACTCAATTTATTAAGCAAATTCTCCCCGCTAGTCTTTGTTACTTAAATACTTAAATTCCCTATACTTTACAAAGACCTGGTTTTACTTTTCCGTGTTCAAATAATTTGCTTTCAAAAAATATTCTCTCCAAGGCACTTTCCTCCAACATGCACATCCCAACCACTTTCAGCAGACAATGGCGATGATGATAAATAAAAGCAATCACAGTGTCTGTAAGGTGGAGGGTTCAGGTTGTTCCTTTCCAGAACCATTAAGGGGCATATTTTCATCTTGGGGCATAAACGAACTGAACCTCATTGTCTGGGGGGAATTTAGACCACCTGTCTGGCAGCGCATTGGCTGGCGTGGACTGTGTGTGGACGTCCTGAGGGGAGGGTGTGGAGAAAGGCAACCTACACAAAACACCCTTGTCCACATCCCTTCCTCTGCTTTTTAACTGGATGGAAATATGGCTTTGTATTGGCTCAGGTGACATAAAAAGGTAAAAACAGTAGATCTCAAATTATATTTTACTTTAAATATCAGAAGTCAAAAAAGGGTCCACAAATCAGTAGCTCCTGAGACCATGAGTGCGCGCGTGCATGTTTAAGTGGGTCTGTTTCAATTCCACATGGGTTTTTCCACACACTGGTTTCTGGCATGGAGCGCTGGTCTGCAGGACACCAGAGTGCCTTTGTGTCCCTTGCTGACACTACTGCATTGTGTTTTTCTACCCATTAACCAAGGATAAATGACCTAGATATTGTGCCTATTAAAGCCTCATTTTTCTTTTGCCCTTTTGTTCTTCAGTGTACCACATTATCACACACTGCACACATTTCTAAGTATTCTCAGTCTCAGATGCCCTTTTGAGGGAGTAATAGGAGCTTTTTGTGTGCATTTCTGTTGAGATATCTGGAGTGGAATTGTGTGAGAGTAATTCAAGGTTTTCCTTCCTGTCTAGTCTTGGAGACAGTTTAGTGTATTACTAAAAGCTAATCTAGTATAAGAGGATATATCAAGAAACTGTACAAAAGCCAGAATGCTGTATTTGCATCTATTACGAATACAAAAAATAGAGTGAACACCAGTTTCCCTACATACTACATTCTATAATTACATCTCTGCATATCATGGGTCACTTTTATTAAAAGCATCATTACTACAGTTGGCAGCAATTTACATTTTATCTTACATGATAGCAGTTTTCAAAGAAAAAAATAAAAGGACATCACAACAAAGAAAAACAATACATTTACAAAGTCATGTCTGTAAACTTCAAGGCTAGTTTAGATCTGAGGTAATGCTGTTTTAGCTTTGTGGCTAAAGTAACAAAGTCCTTTAATTTAAAAAAGGTACCTGATTCTCTCTTTTCTCACTCTTTATTTATTCATCTATTTATTTTGTTTATACCAGTGCATTACAAGACCACGAGACAATGGAACTGCAGTTCTGTCTGGCAAGAACCCTCCCAGTAGGTTAATTTTCCAAAGGGACCCTTCACATTCAACAGCTGCCTTATTATTGCTGCGCCTCGGGACAGAGGCGTTCACACTAGCGTGGAGATTGTCAGAGTGTATGGATGTGTGTGTATGTGCGAGTGTGGGAACCCCCATACAGTCAAAAAAGGGAAACAAATGAGCAAGTATGATATGTATGGTAAATTTCATCTTGACCTTCACAGCAAAAAAATTAAAAATTAAAATTAAAAAAATTAAATATATAACTTCATACTTCCTTTGAGCAGCACCTCCTTCCATTAGTGCCACTCAGTTACAAATTGCTCTTTATTATAATACCAATGGTACCAAGAGAAAAAAAAGAAAAGCAGAGCATTATGTAAGTTTCCTTAAAAAGACATGATCACCTCTCAAATTTCATCTCTCCTAGGGATAATAAATAATGCACTGCACAATACTTAATGACCAAGATACCTTTTGACACACCTGTATAACATGACTTGGACTTTTTTTTTTTTTTTTGCTACACTATGTTACAGAACAGCTTATAAAACTAGGTATGAACATTAACTGTGAGTGTAAACAGTAGGACTACCACTTGTCAAAAGTTTTAAACACTTGAACTGGAACTGGTACTGGTTATTCATCATTTTCATTGTTTTCTATTTCTTCCCCCCCATCAAGCGAGTCTAGCTCTTCACCCTGTGCTATTTCGTCTTCTAAGAGGGAGGACTCTGCAGTCTTATCCAGGCTCTCCTCGGCATCGCTGCCTTCGAGGGTCTCCCCATCTTTAAAGGGTCTTCCCTCGGCCTTGTCAGCAGCCTTTTCTTCGCTGGAGCCCACGGCATTCTGAAGTCCTGCCAATGCTGGGAACCCAGGCAGCGTCAATCCCCCCAGTCCTGGAGGTAGAAACATGGATGGGTAGAAGAGGCCCGGGGCCATGGTGGACAGGAGGAAAGGGTTGAAGGCTAGCGGGTTTGAGGGCAATCCGGCCGGGGCAGTAGCAGCACCAACAGATCCATTTGCAGAGTCAGCAGCCGAAACAGCATCTGTGCTTTTCTCAGAGTCTTTGTTCTCGTCTTCATTCTCATTTCCTTTCTCCTCTCCTTTTGAAGTGCTGTCTTCCGGTTCTCCTTGACTAGAAGCAGTAGTGGTGTTTCCAGTAGCAGCTGACAGAGGGTTATTCAACAGCCCGCCCAAGCCAAACACGTTGGGCAGGCCCGCCATTCCTGGCAGCATCAGGGGCAGCACAGCAGCAGGGTTCTTCGCGTCGCCTCCGGCAGTGGCAGCTGTTGCCAGTCCTGGAGGGAAGCCCATGAGGCCTGCCAGCTGGAGCGACTGGAGATTCTGGAGATTCTGAAGGCTCGTCAGGTCCATTCCAGCAAACAGGCTGTTCACCAGCAGAGGGTTGATCCCTGACGTGGAGGCCACAGCAGCAGCGGCCGCGGCTGCTCTGGCGATCTCACTTTTGGGCCTTCTTCCTCTTCTGCTTGCTCCTTCTCCCCGCACCACAGGCCCAGTGAGAAGGCGGTCAAACATCGACTCGGGAACAAAACCCTGGAGGAGAGGGGGAGGAGAACAATGGTTATAAGGGCTGCCGAAGACAACTGGATCTCAATGCGAGCCTCTGTGGTGAACCTGCCAGTCCAAATGGAAATACCTAAGTAGTTCTTCTCTTCTAACAGCTCAATGATAAAACTTATGAAGCAAAACTTCTGATTCTATTATTATGTTAGCTTGAACTGCAGAAAAACTGCTCAAGGGCTACTCATCAGTGAGGTAAATGTCAGGTTAGCTGCATCCATAACTAACTCAAGAAATAATACATCAGAAAATACCTGATGGGGTACAAAAACAGATTTAGACAGGATGAATAAGATCTAATATTTGATAACACAACAGGGTGACTACACAGTCAACAATAATCTATTGTATATTCAAAAATAACTAAAAGAATATAATCACATTGTTTGTAATACAAAGGGTAAATGCTTGAGGTGATGCATATCTCATCTACCTAAAGTGATTATGTACCATGTGCCTGTACCAAAATATCTCACGTACCTTATAAATATACACACCTACTATGCACCCATCACGCATTTTTAAAAGTACATAATGTAAAATTATATCAAATCATCACTTGTGAGCCAGGTGCCATGGCTCACGCTTGTAATCCCAGCACTTTGGGAGGCTAAGAGGAGGACTGCTTGAGCCCAGGAGTCTAAGACCAGCCCTGGGCAATATAGTAAGACCCTCTCTCTACAAAAAATGAAAAAAATTCCAGGTTTGGTGGCATATGCCTGTCATCCCAGCTATCTGGCTAATCAGGAGGCTGAAGTAGGAGGACTGCTTGAGCCCAGGAGTTCGAGGCTGCAGTGAACTATGATCTCACCACTGAACTCCAGCCTGGGTGACAGAGCAAGACCCTGTCTCTTAAAAAAACAAAAAACAAAAAACACCATGCTGTATACCTTGAATATATATATTTTATTCATCAATTAATTTTTGTCAATTAAATATCTGTCAATTAAAAATTTTTTGGTTGGGCATCAGTGGCTCACACTTGTAATCTCAGCACTTTGGGAGGTCAGGGTGGGCAGACAGCTTGAGCTGAATTCGACACCAGCCTGGACAACGTAGTGAAATCCCTTCTCTACAAAAAATACAAAAACTAGCCAGGCTTGGTGATGTGTGCCTGTAGTCCCAGTTGCTTGGGAGGCTGAGGTGGGAGGATTGCTTGGGCCTGGGAGGTTGGGGTTGTAGTGAGCCGTGATTTTGCCACTGCACTCCAGCCTGGGTGACAGAAAAAGACCTTGCCTCAAAAAAAAAAAAAAAAAATGTATGGGAGAAAAATTATAAAATGGTGTAACATAATATAAACCCAGGATGTTTTATTCCCTCTATAATGTGTTACTTTAAATATTTCAAATGTATGTAAGAGAAAAAGCATTTTTAAAATATGGAAAATGTAATTATGTCTTAGTATCTACTCTAGAAAAACGAAAACTTATGTTCACACCAAAACCTGTATACAATTGCTTATAGCAGCTCTATTCATAGCTTCAAAAATCAGGAAATAACCCAGATGTCCTTCAGTGTGTGAGGGCTAAGCACACAGGGTCACATCTATGCAATGGAGGGAGCCACTCAGCAACGGAAAGCAGTGAACTGTGACACATGCGACCACCATATGATGAGTGAAAGAAATCGCTTCAACACTTATGTCCCTCATGCTTCCATTTTAGGACATTCTCAAAAAGATAGGGATGGAGAACAGGTCAGCGGCACCCAGGGGCTGGGGTCGGAGAAAGGACAGTGTGAGGGATCTTGGTGACTGAGGGAACCCTATTCTGACTACAGTGTCGGTTCACAAACTCACATGTGTGTTAAGATGGATAGAACGTGACACCCAAAGCAAAGTTATTTTTAATGTATAATTAAAACAAAAAAGAATCAGCATGTCATGAACTAATTTTTTAAAAGCTAATAATAACAAATCTTTTAGGCAAAACTTGTATTTTTTTCTTTTAAATCAGAAATCACAGTTAACCTTAATGATCTCAACCACCATACATTCCATTCCACAGATGAGCTGTTAAGTAGGTTTAGCTGGGGCGATCCCCCCATGGAGAAGTCAACCTCCAAGACTGTGAATGTATGCCATACAAAAGCTTTTAAATTGGAGCTGACAAATGAATTCACTTTGGATTAATGATGTATTGATATAAGAAATCATGATGTATTAATGATGTATGAAAACCATGTATTATGTCAATTCTTTTTTAAGCTAAGAATAAGTTACTACTGAATAATTAATGGGCAACAGAAAATAAGAAAGACTCAGGAAAACAGTTTTGTATAGCTACCTTTCCTGACAGAAATGCAGTTTGTACTTACAGACTGCTTAACTATATCAGTCCAGTCTGGAGCAACTGCAAATTCGGGATTTTCTTCCAGCCACCTGGGTAGATCCTTCATTGGAGGCGCCATAGCTCCACCCATCTGGGTAGAGGCATTTGACAAATGATTAAAAATACAGTCTTCCCTCCACTCTCCATTAATCTACTCCCTTCCCCTTCTATAATACACACACCACACACACACACACACACACACACACACACACACACACACGCACGCACATGCACACATGCATGCATGCATTTGGGCAGACAGGATTCTTTTCCTTTATGGAAGACGGCAGGATAAAATACTTCTTTCTGGGCTAAGAAATCGCACAGTGATCAACTCCGTCTCCCAGCATTTACCTTCTTGCCATTTCGCTTATTGACAACAGGCACCCTTTCCTCTCCTGTCAAAGTGTTTATATCCAATTTATTAGGGTTTCGACATCTATGTCGTTTCTGTTTCGGTTTCTGAAATGAGGAAAACAGCACATCTGCATTCTTCTGCAAAAGAAAAAACATATTTAGTAAAACTGGTATGCAGTACTTAGTCTTCTCTATATAAATGCCAGAGAGAACTGTCAGATCATCTTCATTATTATGGAAATTTCAATAATAATTTTAATTATTAATATTAGAAACTATATTTTTCTCTTTGAAAGAAAAAAACTCCTTTTTTACTCCTGTCCATTAAGGAACACAGAAGTGAGAATTTGCTTTTCCTTTTGTGTATCAATAATCTCACTTAAAGTATTTCTTCAAATGTTTAAAGAAGTCATGGTACTTTTAAAGGAGGCTTTCTGTAGTACTTTTACTAATTTCTAGTTAGTGGCTTAAATAAACACAGAGATGACACCACATCGACAACATGTGACTGTCTGTGATGAGAACTAACCCACAAACAGACAGATCTTGTGGTAAGTGGGGGTACATTCCGAGCGGCAAGAACACTAGGCTGAACCCAATAAAATAAAATGTAAAATCCTACATTTAAGTTTTAAAAAATCAATCACATAAATATAAAAAGCAAAAGACTTGCATTGCTGCCTAGCAAACAGTTTGACAAACCATGTGGAGATATGAATTATCTAATGTTTAATATAAGGCACAAGCATCAGTTGCTGTAAAAGCAGCTAATAAAATCTTGGGCTGCATTAACTGGTCAAATCTCTGGAAGTAATGGCTTCACAGCACTCTGGGATGGCCGGGCCTTGTCTGGAGACTAGAGAAAGTGCATTTAAGAGTGTTACCCCATACTCAGACTGCCTGGAAACGATGCCATAGAAAGAATAACTGAAGAAATCACATGTGTTTGATGGGAGAAGGAAACAGTAAGGAAATGCGTAACACACATCTTCAAATGACCATAAGACTGCCTTCAGTAAGACAGACCTCAAGCTAGTTTCTCTAATGCGGATGATCCAACAGCAAAGACCTGGGAAATGTTTGAGACCCGGAAACTTTCAAGGACAAGGCAGAGGGACCAGCTGTCAGGGATTTCTATGTCATAAGGGAATGAAGTGGACCGACCTGGAAGATTCCTTCCAACTCTCAACTCTGCAATACTCACTGGTACATAACTTGGCATATCAACAGTGTATGTAGGGTGCAGCTTCAGCCATTCAACTAAATCCTTATTTTTAGGAGCATCTTCCCCCACCAGCCTAGTCCCATCTTCGAGACTGATAACAGGGATCCGTGTGTCTGGGTCCAGCTGTCCGGGAGAAGGAATGTTTCTTGTTGGTGGGGTCTCTATATCTTCTTCAAAAGCTTTGGTCACCTCAGCATCCTCCTGCAGAAAGTTAACAATGGTATGAATTCTCACATGAAGAGAGAGATTCTTGCAATGTCCTATTTCAAGAAAATACTACCCTAGCATAATGGATCTTTGATAAAAAAGAAAAGAAAATAGTTGCTAGAAAAAATGTCAGTTTGGGAACAGCTATTAAAAGTTAGAAGATGAGGCTGGGTGCAGTGCCTCATGCCTGCAATCCCAGCACTTTGGGAGGCCGAGGTGGGCAAATCACCTGAGCTCAGAAGTTGGAGACCAGCCTGGCCAACATGGTGAAACCCCATCTCTACAAAAAATACAAAAATTAGCCAGGCATGGTAGTGCTTGCCTGTAATCCCAGCTACTTGGGAGGCTGAAGCAGGAAAATCACTTGAACTCAGGAGGCGGAGGTTGCAGTGAGCCAAGATCATGCCTCTACACTCCAGCCTAAGCGACAGAGTGAGACTTCATATCAATTAAAAAAAAAAAAAAAAAGTCAGAAGATGAAACTTGTCTATCATTCTTCACACTGTAGAACTAGTAATTAGGTAAAAAATTTATAGTCCACTAAGGTTTCATGCTTTGAAATCCTAAGCCAGTCACTGGGAATACAACACGGGGGGTGCAGTCTGAGGTGATATGCATGAAAGGCGGCCTCTCAGTCTCTCCTGGGGATCCCCGGATAATGACATTAAAGGTAATTTATACTAAAGGAATTTCTAAAAGCTGGTTTGTATGTAACTTACTGGCACTCTGTGCACAATGTAATTTTGTCCGTAGTGGGACGTTTTGTCTCAGGTATGTGTGGCAACATTAGAACAACACTAACTGAAGTCTATACTCTACCATCATCCAGCCACTAGTCCTTAAACTGTTATTTCAACCTCCAGACACCCATTTCTCCTTCCCCACAACTTTACCACGGCCCAGGCCTTCGTCACTTCCAACCCAGCTTATTGCAATATTCCTAAATGGTCTCCCTGATTCGAACCCCACCTATCTTCACTCCAATCTCCACACCACTACACAGGAGACAGTTTTCTAAAATGAGCTGTTTTCTAAATTGCAACACTATTGCCTCCAGGACAAAATAAGTTCTTCCGCATAGCATCAAGGCCCTCCATGACTGGCATCCTGCCTTCTCTCCAAGCTCATCTCTGCTGAAGCTCACTTCCTCACCAAATTCCTCAGTTCGTCAAACCCAAGAGGCTCTTCCCTCTTACACATGTTCTCTGCCAACCCTTTGTAAATGACCAACTCCTACATGTGATCTTCAAAACTTAAGTGAAGTACAGCCATGTATAGGGAAACTTCATCTATTTCTCCCCATATCCTCTTCCCTCCACTCCCAGGTTTCCTTTGGGCTCACAAAGTATGTTAGGCATGCCTTGGTCATGGCACGTATGCACAACCAGAACACATTATTATTTACCTGTCAGCCCATCCTAAATACTCTGTACTCCAGGACTTTATTTTTTGACTCTCAGGGTCGGCAGAGGGAAGAGGGCCAGCTTGTCCAATGTTGCTGAATGCACTCTTACTTTTTCATGGTGACACAGTTAGAGAGCTGACATAATACTAGATTCTAGCATCTGTCTTCTTCCATCCTGGGGAATACTGCTGGCCTTTACATCTCTTTTCTACTCTATTTACAGATCAGTCAGTGCTTTCTCGGTATTTTATGTACATGCACATCACTCTTGACACCACCAAATGAGGAATCCCTACATTTCAAAATGTGACAGTTAAAAAAAAAAAGCTTTTAAAATACATTCTCTAACTTCAATTAGGAATTCTTTGAAGATTTCTAAATATGACTTTAGAAAAAAAAATATCAACAAATTCTTAACAGCTTAAAATAGCGAAATGAAGTCAGCTTCAAATTTAAAATGGGGTGTGTACTTGCAATAGAAAAAAAGCACCTGGGTTGCATTATTAATTCCTAACACCTGGTCTATAGACAAACCTTTGTCATGATCCAAATATTGAACATGATTGCCTATAATCCCAGCACTTCAGGAGGCTGAGGCAGGTGGATCACTTGCACTTGAGCCCAGAAGTTCAAGACCAGCCCGGGCAACCCCAGTTGGGGATGGTGAAACCTCGTCCTCACCCAAAATACATAACAATTAGCTGGGCATGGTGATGCATGCCTGTAGTCCCATCTACTTGGGAAACTGAGGTGGGAGAATCGATTGAGGTGGGGAGGCTGCAGTGAGCCAAGACTGCGCCACTATACTCCAGCCTGGGCGACACGGCGAGACTCTGTCTCAAAAACAAAACAAAAACAAACAAACAAAAAAACGTTGTTTCACAAACAAAAAATCCTACAAATATTGAACATGATGATAAACAAAAAGAAGTATCAGCTGCAGAAACTTTCCAATTTGTTGAAGTTTATGGAGAAAGAATTTATCAGTCAACAAAATCTATCAAAGTAGAGTACTTTCAAAAAGGAAAGCTAATCACTAGTGTTACAACTCTGTCTGAGGGCCACACCCCTAGAAATGGCATTTTAATTTACAGAAAACATGTAAGTCACAGCTAGTCCATTACAAAGTGTACTTTTTACAGGGTTCTGAAAACAGTAATAACGTCAACAAATATGACCATTATGATGACTGGTGCACTGGTAATCAATTTTGAACATTTACTCTTAGCCACCTGAATGCTTGTTTTAATTAGAGCTCGCCAGAAGACAAACACATTTCAGTGAATGTTATTTTGCCATTTCTGAACTTTAGCTCAACCATGCTTTTTCCTGCCTTTTATTGAGCTTACTCTGGGTTCCAGAAATAGAAAATGGGCAAATATTAATAGGGATGGATGAGAAAAAACATGGTGAAACAGACAACTGTCTTCTCTCCATCTCAAATTTCAGTATTTCCCAAACTGTGTCCCACTGCTTGAGAACGGGCCCAGGATGGCCCAGCACCTGGAAGGCTTCCCAGAGCACCCACTCCTCGCAGCATAGACAAGGAGCTCCAGCCACTGTGGTGACCGGGGCTTCTAGTCAAATAGGTTCAAGACATACAGTGCAAAACCATTTTTAAAAGGAGCACATGTAATTGCACTCTTTGGAATAAAATTCTTGTCGTCAGTGAGTCAGGCACCACATTTTTGGGTGAGATGTAGTTGAAGCAAATTAAGAAAGGAAATCATTTTGATTATACTGCATTCATTTATTTCCTCTGAATTGAGAAAGGAAAAAGTAAAAATCCATTGGTCCATATATTCTATACAAACCTAATCTAGCAAAGGCGCAGCTCAGATTTTTAAAATATCTACTTACGGAGGTAGGAGAATTTGCAGTCACAGTTTTTTATGTTAACACAACTCTTAGGTCCAAAACAAAACATTTATAATAATTTTAATAAATGCCAGGCCTAAAAAATATCAATAATTTTAAGAGCAGAAACTTTTTCCACCTTGAGAATTCAGATATAATAATTCTAGGCTCAGAAGAACATGTTTCTGTGTTGGGCTGTTCTTCTCAGAGCAATCAACACATCAGAACTTGGGAAGAATACGTCCTCAAGCTACACTTTGTTCAGGACAAGTGATCTGTATCAATGATCAGAATCACGACTGATCACTGTAAAACTATTTTTTTAGTGGAGGAAGCTGGCTTTCATACCATGCTGCTGAGAACACCACATTCCCAGCACCATGAGCATTGCGGGATCCCCAGCTGTCAACATGTGCACATGCCATGCAGGCGAGCCCCCCAACTTACTGCACTCAATGACGTCCGTTTGTGGCTCAGGAAAAGCATATCAAGGCCCTCCACGTTTTTCCTCCTTCCTCGCCTCCTCTTCATGGGAGGCTCTCCATCCACTAGGGAGCCATTAAGCAGATGCCTTGTGGGTGTGCGTGAAAGGCCTGCTTGGAGCAGTTCCATTTGAGTCTTAAAGGCATCAGACACTGGTGTAGAGACATTAGGCAAGATAAACTTTGAAGAAAGAGATGAAAAATTTGAGGTAGAGCTTGTTGCCTCTCTGGAGGCCTTTGATAAATCTACAACTTTTTCTTGTCCATTTTCTGAGACCACCTGAGACTCTCGAAGCTGGGCAACCATCTCCATGAGATTTCGCCTCTTGGCAGCTCTTTCGGCCTCAATTTCAATTTTTCTCCTCCTCCTCCTTCGCTGGCGGGGGACAGAGAGGTTGAGGGCATCTTCCTATTGAAAAATTCCAGCACAATAGATTTGCGGTGAGTCAAAACTATATCGGCTACATGGGTCAGCTTTTAGAAATAAGGAACAAGAAGCTTAAGGAATTAAGCATTCACGAGTGGTGCACAGAGCTGAGGAAACAGTAGCTATCTTATTTCTAAGTAGGACCAGTGAAACATAAGCTCCCAAACTGAATTAAGGCTTACAGAGCTCCCTCTTAAGCTGCAGAAGCAAACTATTCTAACTCACCTTTGACAACTGAGGAGAAGTAGTGATGTCCTCAGTCCCACTAATGCTGGCTTGGCCGACCATGGAGAGCTCGGCAAAGCTCCTCTTCTGCAAGGGGCTGTCCACTGTGGTCGGTGTGTAACCTGGGATGAGGCCTTGGAAATCAAACATCTGGCGCCTATTTACTGGCCATTTGCCTTTCAACACTGCTTCACAGATGTTGTCTAATCGGTTTATCATTACTCTATCCTGGAGGGAGAGGAAAAGTCATAAGAAATTTTAACAAAGCCCTGGTTAAAATTACTAGATAAATACATCCATCAAGATGCAGAAGAGCACAAAATGTTTAAATGTCAACTGGAGGGCAAAAAGTAAAAGAAAACAAGGCAAGAAACCAAATAAGAAAGTAAATAAACAAAATCTCTTATAATGGCACTGCTCTGGCAGAAGGTCTCAGGTGGCTTCAACACAGAAAACATGCACTTTTTCAATTACAAACACTGAATTACATAAAACAGGAAAATGTACTAAATAATCACCACTTTCAAAATATCTTCATATTTAAAAAGTAACTTTTATACAAGCTCCATAGAGCCCTGCTGGTGGACGTCAGTGGATGACAATGGAAACCTTGCATTAGCATCTTGCCGCCCTGGCCCATCAGATCCACAGGCTGGATTGCAGTGCGTCCCAGGAAGTGGGACATCATTAGCGTCACTATTAATAAAGTTCAGCATTATAAAATGGGCACCAACCTAGGAACACCTAATGAATGTCAATTTGCATTCTCTACCTATTATCACTTCAAATTTCATTGAAGCGTGTACATTAAAAATTTCTAATTACAGCTTTAGACTGGGTTTCTATAGATTAAAAGTGCCTGCTACTATAACCTTTGACTGATCTGAGAAACTCCCTCCTACACTCAATAAAGGAGGTTAGCATAACAGGGGAACTAAAGGGATAGACAGAGGGAAGAAAATGTCTTTGACAGTATATTCTTCAGTCAGAATTTTCACCTTTTTTCTTAAACAACAATAATACTGGGAAAGACCAGCCTGGGGGTAGGCTGACTGAAGCTCATTTTTTGTGTTGTTTGTTTTAAACCAGAGAGTCCTGTTATGGTGATTAGGATGATTATTTCCTTACCCTGAAAAACAGACTTAAATTACACAGGGATTAATTATAAAATTATATTGTTTAGCAAAAAAATAATATCCATTTTGCTTTTGGTTACAGATAACTACATTTGGAATTATCTCATCATGTGTTAAGAGCAAATGGATCAACAGCATACCCTCTCCTAAGTTAAGAAGATGGTAGGTTTCCAAAGATATAAAGTTGTCTTAAATCTGAAGGCTTTATTTCGCATAAAAGTTTTTAAAACACAGTGATAATCTATAGATTATATTACACAGAGGTAAGTAACCTAAAAGCCACAAGGAGTCAAAGATCCATCCACATAAACACTTCTATTTCTTACTATCTTTCTTTCACGTCACATTTCCCATCCTATTAGAAAAGTGTTCTACAATTTTTTCTTCGGGCTTTTTCCAATCACTCTTTAAAAGTGTAAGAAATATCTATAGTCTCATATACTGTGTCAAAAGTTTACCTTAAAATTATTTGAAAAATCAAGCCAGAAAGATTTCCTCTACCCTAATCCTTTTTGGTCAAGAAAACAACAGCAACAAAAACCTGCCAACCTTAGGCCAAAATGAGAAGGCAAATGTTCTTTCATGCAGGAGCTGAGCTACTGAAGGATCTCCATCCTCCATGTAGAATCCATCTCGGGTTTCATCCCTAGCAGTGCTCATGGAAGCATTGCTTTCTTCATCAAAATTCTTCCCTCTAGAGACAGCTCCTGCTGAGAAATGAGTTAGTGCGCATTACTCACAACCAGAGTATCAGGGAAACTGAAGTTTAGAAAGGACATGATTAAAAATGTGAATACTAATCAGCTTCATTTTATTGAGTACCTACTACATGGCTAGAATGGTACTGAGCATCTTATAAGTCTTTGTTGTCTAAAGCTTGCAACAGCCCTTTAACATAGATGCTGTTATTTCCATCTTGCAGACAAAGACACACAGGCTTAGAGAGGTTAGTCAGTAGCCAACCTACCACTGTGCAAGTAAACCTTACAGGAGGCTGATAGTAAACCAAGTCATTGACAAGAGCCTATGTTCTTCCACACAGAAAAAAGGGCTGACCTTTTGGCAAAAGTTGAAGGTTCCAGCTACAGCAGGACAGTAGGTGTTTTATTTTTACTTGGGGCCAGTTTCAGCAACCTTACTGAGACTTAGAAAACTGGTTATTTTTAGATCCTACTCCTACTCTTTAATTCTGAATCAAAACAAAATAAGCACCATTTGTTTTAAAATGGTTAATAATATTTACTCAGTGAATGATCGATCATCTTTCCCTCACATTTGTTGAAATTAAAATTACATGGAATTCTTAATACACTGCGACTGTAAGTTAACTTCCATCCTTAACCCGGAAGTTGCTAATGTGTCCATGCAACTCTTCTCAGAGTTTATGTTGTTCAAAATACCATGTTTAGGTGCTATAAGGCGGCAGTGCAAACCCAGACCTAAGCATAACTTGAAATCACCCCTCACAGAAGAAAAGGCACACTAAGCACTAGTGAAAAAGAAAAGAGCAGGTGCTGTGCTGCCGGGAAGCAATGCATCTCACAACCAGCTGCTGTGGGATCAGGAGAGGGGAGCAGTGAGGCCTTACCTTCAGGCTGGGAAGACTCTTCTGACTTATCGTCATCCTCCAGTTTTTCCTCTTCATCCTCTTCGGAACCTTTCTCTGAGATAGACTTGGACCCAGTGTCTGCGCCGACCTCGACACCTTTCAGTTCATTTTTCACAGAGCTGGCCTCGGCCTCACGCTCCTGCTTGCTCTCCTTCCCGCCGCTGTCGGTTTCTTCTTCCTCTTCTTTGCCCTCACATTTCTCCTTGGGAGTCGGGTTTTCAGACTCCTCCACTTTGCCTTCAGCTTGATCCATTACCTTCTCATCTTGAATGTGAGCCGATGAGATGGCTGGAGGAGTCTGGCCAAATCCAACTGCCAGTGGGTTCAAGGAAGATACATTACCTGCCCCTCTGTTTTGAGCAAAGTTTTTATGCGCATCCAAGAAGGACAACTCTGGGTCATTGAGGATGTGATAATCCGTCCGACTGACCCCATGTTTAGCAGCACCAACCAGCAAGTCTCGGTCATGCCTTCCACACTCCCACCACTCTGGCAGATCCAAGCTTGGCTGGCAGAGCTTAAGCCTCTCTCCCAGCTGGGGGTGATGGAGAACCTGCTCACGGATCTTCCGCAGCAGCTCAATGCGGTACAGAGTTCGAGAGGCTCGCTCCTCTGTGATGGGCTCAATCATGGAGAGGTCGGGCGGTTCTGTAACACGGAAGGGCTCATATTTACTCGGGAAGAACTCAGGGGCACTTTGCATTATACACTTTCTTATTTTTCACTCTGCTGGTCTTTTCACACAGAACTTTGTTGCTGAATGTACCTACCGTCATCTGGCTTGGTGGGCATTCGACACACTCGCCGACACATGGCCACGAAACAACTGAAGTATTTCTCCAAACTTTCATCAGACTTTTTGTCAAGCCTGGCAAAGGCTCGAAATTGGTTCCAGTCAAATTGCTGTTTCACAGGGTCGAAAATAACCCCAAAGGTGGATACTACACGGTAAAAATCAGCCTCTTCTCTTCTTGTCCACCTGTTAGAAAGATTGTATTAGCTGGTATCATACTGCAGGAAAAGGCTTAGTGCTTACTGTTTCTTTTCCTCTTTCCCCTAGCCTTTATACATACACGGTACTTATTTGGGGTGGGGAGACAGACTGCTTTGCCGGAGCAAGCCTTTCTTTGGTGGTCACTACCATTGATATGAGTCCTGTCTCTTGTGGGTCTACAGGAGCAGGACAGAGGGGAATGTACTGGGAGCTGAGGGAAACCCTAAAGTAACTCACTTTTGCCGCTTCTCAGATATAATAGCTTCCCTTTCCGCTTCCAGAGCTCTCACTTCCTCCCGAGGCCGCCGTCTGCGCCGGTCAGTCTTCATTAGGGCCTCTTGCCTCATCTGTTGCCTTTTATAGCTGCGCTGATAGGCAGTAATGAGCCGGCGCAGACGTGTAGTCAGGGTTGAAGTGTTAGGCCAGTAAAGTTGGCCTAACTCAGCATTACTCTCACTGTGCTTGCCTGGGGAAGTGGAAAAACATTTTTGAAATGTGTAGCTGCAATCTTGCAATACACAGACTTTTCCAACAAAACAAGATGACTCATTAAGATTCAAATGACAGTGTGGGAAAGGGCATCTCAGTGCCCTCATTTTAAAAATATAAATAAGTAATAACCTCTGTTTAAAACTTACACACTATTTCTTTTTTAGCTCCTTAGAGGGGGTGAAAACAACATTATTTATCAGTCCTACGTAAAAAGTACCTTATAAGGTACTCTCCTTTAACATATGTACAATAATCATCTTGAGCATAAAAAATAACTGTATAATTGTTGTGTAATGATTTTACATTAGGTAAAAGGTCAATATTGTAAATAAACTGAAAATATTTTAGGTAAATACTTAGCAAATGCTCTCTTCCCAAGAGCTACATTTTAGATGCTTCAAATTTTTCACAAGTGTAAAATATAAATCAGCCAATTATCGTCCAAGAAAAGTTATCCTATCTAAGAAATTCAATGTAACGAAAACACAGCCATTAACAAGAATTAAAGTGATTCACAAAAGAGGTTGGTGTAGAAGAAATAACATGTTAAGACACCACCATTGTGAAGCAGGACAAGTCTCTACCACATGAGCAATGACTGCTCAGCACACGTCTGCTGAGCTATGCGAGCTGTTCTGCGGCCTTACCTGTGGCATGTATTTCCAAGGATTCTTCCTTATCCTCCGGAGGAGAATTTGCAAATTCCTTGAAAGCAAAGCAAGAAAGAGAATTATTTTAATTCCAGCTCTCATTTTGCTTTGTCTTTTAAAGAAAAGTCCATTATCCATAAAGTTTAACAAGTCTTATATGGGCATATAATAATTTAATGGAGCTATAAAAGCCAATATACTCAAGTTCATACATCTATTTCATCTTTGAATGGTGTTCTGGTTGGTTTATATTCTGGGTCTTCATCTTCTCTATCAAATTCTCCCCTATGTAAAACAAAGACAAAAATTGTTTGAATCATACTGATAAGCAAGAGAGGGAAGGTAGGGTAGGAAAAAGTAACAATCTGCCCAATGCTACCTTTAATTATGGTTTTGATATCAAAAGCAACTCTATCAGTATTTAAAACATGCAGCTGTGGCAGGGTGGTGGAGGGGGCCCAGGGAGGATGGGGGAAATGCCATTTGGAAAAGAAAAACAAGTTTCAGATTATCAAGATAATGTATATTGTTTAAACAGTCATTATGATATATAAACAGAATAGACTGGTAAAACATCACTTGAACTTCAAATCAGATGCAATATAGTGTGTAGCGTGGGGTAAGAATTGAGCCCTGCCAATAGATGGGAAACTGACATAAAGTTTATTCAAATTTTAAAATGTCCTTCTTACCCGTCACCGCCATCTGCTAGCATGTCTGTTCCTCTTTGCTCGGCAGCTATGGCCTTGGCATCAGGCATGCCGACTCGTTCCAGAAAGCACAGCGCGGGGTCAGCTCGCATGGAGTTGTACTTCTCATAGCCTGTGCCATGCCATCCGTGCACAGAGCACACACGGAAACAAAGAAAGGCCCCATCACTGGCAAAATCACAGCACTGCCACAACACAGCAAGTCTGTTTCTCAGTCAAGGTTAACATCTATGTTGAATCCAAAATGGACCTTGTTTTAGTAGGGCATTCTATGGAACGCTCCTTCTAGGGAAGCTACTGGAGGCCAAGTTACACCTCAGGGATATTATCAGAATTACCACAAACACTAATAGAAAAACAGGTTCAGAATAACTGCAAGGTGCCTGGGAGGATTTCTGACCCTATTTTTCCCCAGATCTAATTCTGCTTGACATTTTAGAAGGCTTTGCAATGTTCCTTTATGACCTCTGCAGGGGTGCACTGGGTCCACCCCCATCCACCCTGTGAATAGCGTCAGTCCTGCAGGAACTCTCATGGCTGGCTGAAAAATCCCCATATACGTAAGGCCAGCGAACCTGTCTTATTAGGTTTAGGATGATGCATGTCAGTAAGATAACACTGTTCCCTCTATGGTTTTCAAACTGCAATTTGCTTTTTGACTGCCCAAGTTGACTAGATGGAAAATGGCAGATCCCAACAGTGCACTGCGGGAAAATGATTTTGAGGCTGAGCTCACAAAACGCGGCTGCAGTACATAGGCAGAACAGCACAATTCAATTAGGATGTGTACTACAACACACTGCTCCTAACTGCTGTGGAGCCGCAAGCCAAACTGTAATCATGAAAGGTTTTATAAGCCATCATTCTCCCCTTTAGTCAGGCTGGGCTGCTGAGAATACCTCCGCGACCTCCAGAGAATTGGGATTATAATCAGGAATCGCTCACTGTATATATCATGCCAGTTCTGCATCCCCAGCCTTTCAAAGTTAACAAGGCTGCATCCCACTCAGGGGAGCCGCGAGTTCTCAGCACTGACATTTGTGAAATATTGCTTGGAACAAAGCCCAGGAGGCACTTGTACAGATTAATAGCAGAGGTTAAGCCCACCGTCCACTTTGACACTGGTTGGCAGAGTTAGCAAGGGAAGCCGAGCTGGAAGCAAAGTTTAGGGAGAGCTATAGTACAACTTGGCTATTATTAAAACAAATATGGTTTGGGTTTTATTTACAGCCAAGAAAGAAATGTTTTCTTCTCAAATGCTCAACAAACATTCAAAAACAGCATCTGATATTTACAGTTCATATTAGATTTTTAGTACAGAAAAATGGTAGACGCCAAGAGTCCTTTGGAACTATCCTCATTAATATTATGACTTTGGAAAAGAGTATGTAAAGAGTTCTAAATAAAGACCAAGCCATACAGTCGAGATGTATTCAAACAGAAACGTCACTTACCATGTTTGAATACTCCAATTAAGAGGGATTTGTCTGCTTCCTTATCCCACCAATCTGCAGGAACTTCAGCATGGAAAGGTTCCGGAATCCATACATCGGCTTCACTGAAAGACAACATTTATAAGAAATACTAGTATTAAAAAAAAAATTCCAAGTAATGAATGTGATACATGGCTCACGTGCCCCCTCTCCCACGATAAACATCTGAGCATGGTGGGGAGGTATCAGTAAAGATTAAAAGGAAGGGCATGAGTCAGTCGCCCTTGCCAAGACCAGAAATGAACTTCATCACATGGTATTCCATTTTAAGGGTCACCTCAGAACACCGGTGCTTTAGTTCACACCTCTTTCCACTACAAACAGAAATACAAACAGCCTTTTCCTGATTCTCATCACATCCCCAAGGACAAACGACAAATACTGCATTCAAGATGCAAAAAAGAAGATGGGTTACTACCAGTGGTTTATGGAGGTTCAAAACACAACCCATGATGTTTTTCAGCTACAGATTATCTTGCTGAGGTTGAGAACAAATGTGAGCTCGCACTAACCTTGAGTCAGCACCCTCTAAGATCTTATCTGCCTGGTCTCCTATCACTTCTTGTCTTAGGTAGTACAGCATGCGGACACGCAGCAGGACCCTGGAGAGGAAGACAGAGGGGGGAAAAAGTTCTTAACTTCAGGACTGTTTGCCAACAGTGGCTTTTGGCAGCTGCTGCTGTTCATCCATCATCCTGCCAAGGCTGATTAGCCATGCTGTATGGTAGGCTTGAAGCGTGACAGATGGTGGCACATAATCACCTCTGTGTGGTGCTTTCTGCTGGCTTCCAACAGGCCTGCCTGGCAACCGCTCACACTGCACAGAGAGGGCCCGAGCTCAGCCCAGCCCAGGCGCACTTCATTTAGTTCTACCTAGTGCAGCTTGTGAAGTTTAGACACGTACCCTACCATTGCCTCTGAAGTATTGAAGCAAGTTTGTAAACAACTGAGCAGATGGCTTTCAGTAACTGTTCTGCTTCATTATCTCATAAAATTTCCTCAGCTGCTGCCTTAATACCATTTTTGGAAGCACATCAGAAGTTGTAGGAATAAACGAGATATAAAATCTGGTTTTACTACCTTACAATAAACCCTCAATATGGAATGTCAGGTTTTTTAGATTATACAACTTTGCTTCCGAGAAAGGAAGATGGGGATGGGGTGGGGTAGAAGGTGTGTCATTGCTCTTCTCCTGTACGAAATACTATGTTAGACATTTTTATTCCTTCTAGTTTATTGTACCTGGGAACCTAAGTTGTAGTAGTTTGAAAAAAATAATAAAACATTAGAAATTAAAATGTGTCCAATTCATTGACTTCATAAACATTCTCAAGATATTAATTTTTTAAAACCCTTGGAATTCTAGAAACTACATTTTCAATCCTGCTTGGAGGTCCTCAATGGCTAAAACATAATTCTTTCAATAAAGTGGGCCTGGTAAGTCCCAAAAGCCAGAGTCTACCAAAGCTAGCATCCCCTGCTGGACAGCCCTGGTGTGCATTCGGGACTGACAGGTGAATCATGGCCTTCTTGGCCATGAGTACGTAATAGTACAAATGCTATTTCCCCAGCTGAATAATCTCATCGTACACTTGTACAGAACTTTACAACCAATGTCTCACACTTATACTAGCCCTTTTGACCTTCACGATAACCCTATGATGAAGCAGGGCAAGTTATAATTTCCATTTTCAAATGGGAAAACTGATGGTAGCAGAAGATAAGTGACAAATCCAAGGCCGCAGAGTTACCTTGCACATGGGACATTTGGAACTAGGTCTTCCGACTATTCTAATCACACTGTCTCTCAGGGCCTGGAAACTGTCCTAAAACTTCAAAATAACAACTAGGGTTAACCACAACAGACAGTTCCCGATCAGACATCAACAGACGTTCCTCAACAGGCCCTTCCCCAACTACGAGTCTACTCAAGGCCAGCATGGGCTCTGGACAGGCCAAATGTGAGCTTGTAAATCCCTGAAGAGACTCACTTTGTATAATTCATTTCTATCTCCATTTAGATTTTTTCTCTTGTTAACTCATGAGATTAAACATTGACTGTGCCATACTGAAATGCGTATGACAGGTACCTTATTTCTTCTCTGGTTAGAGAAGAATTTGAAGGCCAGCGTCCACTTACAGAGGGTGCCCAGCAAGGACAGTTCCAAGAAAACACCCTCTGCCTTTGGATGGATTCTTTAACAAGCACAGCACAGACCAGTACAGTGGCAGGGAACCCAATAATTTCTCTACCTTTGATAAAAGAGAAAGATTTCCACTTTGGGAGGGACTTTAGTTACATGAGGCTTTTATGAACTAACTGTGAATGCTACTTTTCTTCTAGAGGAAAAATTCTAAGCCAAGCAACTGGTAAGCTGAGTGCCCCTGTGGAATACACTAAGCTAGCTGCCCACTGCGGGGACAAAAAGATGACCACAATATGGCCTCTGATTCTAAGGAGTTTGCACTCTGTAATTTAGACAGACACAATGATGAATGACTCCTTAGGCCTGATACAGGCTTCTTTAGCTCTCCCACTACTGACTGTTTTTGGGTCCAGCCCTGAGTCCAGGACATGCATGGCAGTGAACTGTCCTGTCCTCTTTGTCCCCTTTAACCAGAGAAAGTCCCTCTGTCTTTGTCTCTCACAACCCTGAAACTTGTGAAGAGAAGTGGCCAGTACTGTCTAGAATGTCCCTCAATGTAGGGCTCATTTTCCATCTTAACAGTCATCAACATTTCCACACTTTAGATGGCAATAAGTCTCAAGACGTGATCTACCAGGAAAGGACAACTGGATCACTTGCTTTGCCTCAGCAATGAGCTGGGGAGCACCAAAAAGCTTCTTCTGAGACTGTGTGGAAAGATATGAGGAACACCAGTTACTTCTCACATACTAATTAGGGAGGGTGTCCTATGGAAGCGTTTACTGACAGTAGAATGGGAAATCTAAAGCCTCCACCATCACACCAGCCTCTGAGAACAGGAGCCATTCTTTCCACACTGACCCACTTCCCTTCATTTGTTTGAGTCCACAACTCAGAAGGCTATTGACATAAAGTTTCCATCAACCACAAGGACACAGAGGTTTTCTAAGAATGCAAGTGGGTGGGATTTTAGGGAGCACTCTTATGCCACAGCAGTAACCACCAAGTTTCTGAGATGCCAAAAGGGTTGGAGGTAATGGTTCTGAAGATGCCCCAGAGCCTCACCACAGTCCCGAGGAGGAGGGAGACTTCCGAGCCGAGGCTGCCCTTGTCTACTCGGGTTCAAACCTGGCTCTGCCCCTTCAACTTGCCGAGGGTCCTTAAGGAGGTTACTCAACTTTAGTCTCAGTTTCCTTGTCAGTTAAATGGGGATAAAAATCTTAGTAATCTTAGACAACTCAAACAGATAATCCATATAAATAAAGCATTTGGCATGCTCATTATATGCTCAGACTTTGTTGCTGCTACCTTTAACTTTTACAAAGAGAAATGCATACATCCTGCCTCATCCAGCTGAAATCTTGCTGCCAAGGTCTACTGGGCTCACCAGAAAAATGAGTCCTCAAGAGGCTGAATAATTTGCTCAAGGTCACATGAAGCTAGGACATAGAGCTGATCAAGTAGCATTGGTGCCTGAACTAGTGATACGGAAAAATGCATATTCAGAATAAGGAATTAATCAACATATGCAGATGTTAGTTTAATAGGACTGTTAACAGAGCTCTAAGCAACAAAATAAATTTAGGTTCAATAGTCTTCAATTATCTATAATCCGTTGTTAGAAATAAAGGTAATATGATTCTAAGCTCTTGTGTACAAAAAATGGACCCAGCAACTGAGGTAATATTAGGCAAAAAATAATACATGAACTCCCCAGTCCTCCTTCCACTGCAAGCAGTTAGTTGAGGATGGGATCATATAATGATGACTACAATTCTCTAACAGATATTGGTTAAAAACCAGTCCTCTACAACGTTCACAGCAACATTGTTCATGAAAGCCACAATAACCAGCCTAAGTGTCCATCAACAGATGACTGGGACAAACAAAACGTGGCATACATACACAATGGAACACTATTCAGCCGTAAACAGAAATGAAATTCTGGCACTGTAATACAAATGAACCTTGAAAATACTATGTTAAGTGAAGTAAGCCAGACATAGAAGGACAAATAACATGTGATTTCCCTTAGGAGATACACAGAATAGACAAACTATTAGAAACAGAAAGTAGAATGGTGGTCACCAGGGGCCGGGCAAGTTACTGTTTAATTGGTACAGAGTTTATATTTGGGATGATGGAAACATTTCGGGTAAAGATAGTGATGGGTATATAGCATTGTGAGTGTAATTAATGCCAATGAATTGTTCACTTATAAATGGTAAAAATGATAAATGTTGTGTTGTGTATCTCATCATGTTAAAAAAATAATCAGTCACCTAAAGGTATGCTCTCCTATAACTTGACACCGCATTTCAAGAAAAATGGTAAGGCTGTACAAAGGCAGTGACTACACCACTTAAAAGCCTTAATACAAAGCTGTCCCTCCATATCCGCAGGAGTATGGTTCCAGGACCCCTCTCAGATACCAAAATCTGCAGACGTTCAGCTCCCTCAGTTGACCCTCCAAATCTGCGAGTTCTGCATCTGCAAACATGGAAGGCTAACTGCATGCATTTTTTAAAGAATGAAAAGGGAATTAAGCTCTCCAGGTCCACCCTCTAATAACATACTTGTTACAGTGATGCTTCAGGTGTTTCTTGTAGCTGTCCTCCTGGAACAGGGCATCTGGGTTGCAGCTGGCCAGCCAGTCGGCATCCTGCACCACCGGCTGTGTGCTCTGGGCTTTCACCTTCTTTCCCTTCCTTCCCCTTGGCACTGGGGCTGATAAACCTAGAATCACCATCATAATAATAATAGAAGCCTTTTATACTCCAATTACAGTGTCAATGGCAGATAGCTTAATGCAGGAGGTAGGGAAATACGGGGTGTATGTCACATCTCTTTATCAACAGCATGTCACAAAGGTTCCTGGTGGCTTTGTGACCCTGTAGCACAAACAGCATGGCAGAGACGTACCAGAATGGTTGACCAAGGCTCGAGTCTGGCCATCTGCTGTAGGTGTGATCAGATCCCAGATGAAGCTTTTGATATTCTCATCCCCTTTGTAATGATTAAGACAGTACACCAGGATGGTTCTGCAGATGGTTTCCACATCTTGCTCAGTGAGTTGACGTTTATAGCGTCCGTGGGAGAGAATGTCTGTCCACCGTCCCCAACTGCAAAGCAAACATTCAGCATGCAGAAGTGCCTTTGAGTTTTGATTTAGGGCTTTACTTTAACAGTCAGGTACCAGTGTTGGGAAATCCTGGGTCAAAACTAGCAACAATTCACATAGGGTGACAGGAAAGCAATCCAGGGTGCAAGAGTTAAAAACACTCCCTTACACAGCAAGCTGCCTCTCAGTTCACTGTTCCTAAGTGCACGAGTTGAACTGCCACTGGAATAATGCCCACAAGGTTAACCCTGGCTTTCCCAGACACATGCAGGCCGTGGAAGCAATTTTCAGGACATGAGTACAACCAAGGGCCTGGAAATTATAGACTTTGCTTCACACTGTCATGATTAGTATGTTTTGATATTGACCAACAATCTGAGATAAAAGGCAACTCAAGATAAAAGGGGTGACTACCCTAAAATCAAGGGTGTGATGCTGAGCAGTATGGCTGCATCAACCCACCTCTAAGGGATGCCACAGTCACTGGGGAAAGGTTCTAGAAAGCTCTGAGGTTCCTTTTGAAATAAAGAGTAATAATCCCACACATAAGAACCCTCACAGGCAAAATGTTCTGCCAACCCTCAAGTCCTCATGAGAAATGAGTGGGAGAAAGGACCATGGACGGAAGACAGAACCTACAGACAACACGCCATGGGGCCTGAATGTTTGTTTTGTGTTATAATCCCAGCCTAAACAGTACTGTGCTGTTTCATCTGGGAGTTGTGGGGCAAGACCATACAACAAATAGGCAAGGAGGCAGGCAGCAGCAGACTGAGCCACCAAGGCAGTGCTCATGGTATGAACAGCCCCTCTGCTGCAGACCGAGAATAGTGTCTCAAGCAAAGAGCAGCACACATCCTCCCTCAGGCCCTGCCTCTCGCCCTGGCTTGGTCTCCTGTCACTCCCTGGTCCTGTCCAGCTCCTGTGAACTTCTTGCAGTTTCTCCAAGCACAAGGATCTCACTGATAGGCCTCGGAACACACTGCTCTATCTGCTGGGACCTCACTTCCCCTCAATACCCAAACCCCAGCACTCCCTCTTACCCTGGCTGGTTTCTGATGTCCACCAAGTCACAGACTGTACATACTACCTTCTGTGGAATTCTTCCTTTCACTCCTCCTAACCCCAGAATTGGGGAGACAACACCGGAGCTGTGTCTTAACAGCAAGCTAACAGGCTCTATGCTCCACAGCAGGGTGCTTCCCTGTCACAGCATTGTCACAGTCTGTACCACTTCTGCTTGCTCATCTGCCTGACTGACCCATGACTGTCTTGCTCAGAGCTGCACCCCTAGTGACTGAGAGGATCCTAGACAGTGCCCAGCACATAGGTGTTCGGTACAGTGATGACTATGGGAAGAGGGAAGGGCCTGACTAAGAGACAATTTGCACTAAGCACACTTATTAGTTGCAGGAGTTATTAATGAGCTCCATTCCTAAAGTTAGCCACAGAACTCTCAGATCTGATGATTGCGCTGAAACATGGCAGCAGGTGTGAGCAGCAAAGGGCTTCTGAGGGGCAGGGGGGTAAGTCTCTGCCCCATGTAAGAATAGACAAGGGAGGATGTCCAGCTTGCACAGATAATGAGGATGGGCTTCTGTTGAACAAGCATTTATCAGCACTGTGTGTCTGCACACACTGCACTACGCACTGAGGATACAAAGAAGAAGCCTCCATCCTCAAGGAGCTGCAAACTGGGAATCTAGCAAAAGAGGGAGGTGACTCAAAAATCATAAACAACACGATGAGTGTGATGGGAAGTGCAGGCCAGAGTCTGTTGCAGAGCACAAGCTGATGCCTGAGTTGGACACGTACAGAGAGCAGAAGGGAGTCAGGTCACCTCCTAGCAGAGGTGCACGTTGGGAGTCCGCTAGGCGGTGGGAAGAGTTGGTGCAAAGACACACATGAGATGGAGCGCCTGGTGCACTGAAGGAGATGAAGCCGTCTGTCCTAACAGAAGCTTGGACTGCCCGTGGGAAAGAACCAAGGGAAGACAAGGGCCTAAGAGAGCTCTGGATGCCGTGTCAGCATATGTTTGTGTTTACTCTGAAACTAATGGTGATCCATTGGAAGAAATCATCCAAGACAGGATGTCACAAGATCTGTAGATAGTTTATCCTACAAGCAGTTTTTTTTTTTCTTTTAAATTTTATTTTAATGGGAGTTGCCTGTAGTCCCAGAATCTGCTAGAGAACTCTTCATTGACTGATTCAGGTATTTACTGAGCACCCTGACATTCGAAGTACTATGTTGGGTGTCACAGTGATTCGGAGATGAATTAGACATGGATCCTGTCTTTCAGAAACTTGTAGTCCAGCAGGAAAAATACAACACTTTCACAAAGTTCAAATGACCATTCATGTTTCATATGAGTTGCAAGGAAGAATTTAACAAGTGAGATTATTGCCTTTGAAAATTTTTTATAAGAGAAATATTAAAAGATTATGATGGTCATAAATTTTATGCAAAGCTTCTGAAGTGAGAAAAGATTTTGTAACTTTGACACTTTGTTCTTAATTATTAATAATCAACATGTAAATCTGAACCTGGCATAATTCCTTAAGGTACAATCAAGCACCCAAACTTCAGGTGACCTCTGACTCCACAGTATCTGAACAACTTCGATTACATTAATCAAATGGCTCCAAAGCCCTGTCAAGTTACTGCAGAAGCATTTATTTGACTGTGCCAAAAGGTGTTACACAGATTTAAACACAAATATAGTTTTTCCATACCAGTTGGGAATTCCAACTACTGTTAAAATAAAATGCCATCTTACGTAGTGAGTCCTACTTACCCATAGACAAGCAGATTCTTCTCCACCCTGAAACACTCACTCCTTGCATAGCCCTGTGACTTATCCTGGGGGCGCCGTGGCTTTGCACAGGGCTTTTCTTCAGAATCACTTTCCAAGTCTGAGAACTCCATCAGCTCATCTTCCTTCACTGCACTGTAGAGCCTGGTCTGCTTTCTCACTCTTGGAGTATCAATAACCAGGTTGTTCTAATGAAAGAGGAGATACATTTGAATCTTCTGAAAGAGTGGCTCTTGGTTTAGATCAGATAGGTGTTTGAATGGGACTTCTCACTCACCCTTCCATTTAAGGCATCAATATCCAATTCAGCCTTCTTAGCCCACTTTTGCCAGAAATTTGGATCATCTAAGGAAATATCTGTCCTATTTCCAGATGCAACAAAACTGGCCTAAAGAGAAAAAAGAAATGCATTACTTTGAGAGGCTTTTCTCTGAAGCAGAATGTAAAGCAGCTTTTGTTTATCCATTTGCTCCAATGTTGTGCATTCCTCCACTTACGGCAGATACTACAGTAGATGGGACTAGAATGACAGACTGGCCCTCACGCCGCTCTCTGTCCAGAGGTTGAGACCAGACGAAAGGATTACACTGCAGCATGATAAAAATGACAGGAAGCAAGGGTATACACCAATGCAAGTGATATACAGAGGAGGAGCCCCTAACCTGGTTCAGGCAGGACATTGCTGGGAACTGAGAAGAAAAGGCTCTCCCATAAAATGATGCCTGAACCATACTTTAAAACACTCACAAAACAGGAAAGCATGTGAAAATGTTCACAGCAGAGCATGTGCCAAGGCACAGAGGAGAGAAAAGGGGATGATGGTAGTCAGGGAAGAAGAGCCAGAGGTTGAGCTGGTGACGGAGAGAGAAGCTAGGTCAAGCTGTGCCTTGTATGTGCTGTTAACAGAGTTTGAACTCTATCCTGAGGGAGCCAGGAACTATTTGAAAATAGGAATAATCTAATTATGGACACATCATATCTAGAGTCACAAGTTGGAAAGGTTACACCAATGCTGAAAGAAAAAAAGAAAAGAAATATATTCTTTAAAAGGTAAAATTCTTGGGAAGCTGAAGGTGGAAGGTCACTTGAGCCATGTGTTCAAGTTTAGCCTGGGCAACACAGTGAGATGTCGTGTCTAAAAATAAAATAAAAGAATTAATGGAACCAGAATCTGGGTATATATGAGATATGAAAGAGGAAGAAGCAGTCAGGAAAAACCTCAGCATCCATCTCTGGCAACTGAATGTCGGGCAGGTGGACAAACAGAGATGGGGACAGGGGGAAAGATGGGGTGATAAGTTTGGCTGTGCACATATTGAATACACAGTATCTGTGATCCTTGAGAAAATAACCTGACATGAGGCTGAAAGATGTAAGGGAGAAGATGTGGGTCTCAAAGCCCACAGAAGAAGAGCCTTTCCAGACTGGAGTAGCTGGGACAACTGCATAGCCATATGCAAAAGGAAGGGTTGGACCCCTACCTCACACCATACACAAAACTCTATTCAAATGGGATCAAAGACCAAAATGTAAGAGTAAAACCTATAAAACTTGGAATCTAAGTTATGCTAGTGAATGACTAACATTACACTAACTGAATGAAGCCAGACACAAAAGATCATACATCATATGATTCCATTTATATGAACTGCCTACTGTCCAGAGTAGGCAAATCTGTAGAAAACATAAATCTTTGTGACCTTGGGTTCAACAATGCACTAAAAATACAAGCAACAAAAGAAAAAACTGGTAACTGGGCTTCATTAAAATTACATGCTATTAAGAAAACACTAGGAGAAAATATCTGCAATCATATTATTCAATACAGAACTTTCACCCAGAACATATATATTTTTCAAGTATTAAACCTTGATAAGAAACTCAAAATATGAACAAAGAACTTGAACAGAAATTTTTCTGGCTGGGCACGGTGGCTCACACCTGTAATCCCAGCACTTCGGGAGGCCGAGGTGGGTGGATCATGAGGTCAGGAGTTCGAGATCAGCCTGGCCAACACGGTGAAACCCCACCTCTATTAAAAATACAAAAATTAACTGAGCATGCTGGTGCACAGCTGTAATCCCAGCTATTCGAGAGGCTGAGGCAGGAGAATTGCTTGAACCTGCGAGGTAGAGGTTGCAGTGAGCTGAGATCGTGCCGCTGCACTCCAGCCTGGGGGACAGAACAAGACTCCATCTCAAAAAAAATTTTTTTTCCAAAGATGACCTACATCTAGCCAATAAGCACATGAAAAGATACTCAACATCATCAGAGAAATGCAAATAATAGCCAGAGTGGGATACGACCTCACACCCATTAGGATGGCTACAACTAAAAACTCAGACAATAAAAAAGTATTCAGGAGGATGTGGAGTTCTGTTCCATTTCCTCCATATCCTTACCTACACTTCCTATTATCTGACTTTAAAGGGAAAAATAACAGTACACTCACTTTAGAAAACAGTGTGGTAGTTCCTCAAAGGGTCAAACATTTAGTTAACATAGAACACAGCAATTCCACCCCTGGTATATACTCAAGAGAAATGAAAACATCAAGTCCACACAAAAACCTGTACACAAATATCCATAGCAACATTCTTCATAATAAACAATAGTAGAAATGACCCAGATGTCCATTATCAAAAAGTAAATGTGGTATAACCATAAAATAGAATATTGTTCAGCAATAAAAAGGAATAATTACTGATCCATGCTACAACACAGGTGAACCTCAAAAACATTATGTTAAGTAAATGAAGTAAGATACAAAAGATCATGCATCATATGATTTCACTTATATGAACTATCCACTGTCTAGAAACACAAATCTGTAGAAAAAGAAAGTAGATTCGTGGTTTCCAGGTATGGGAGACTGGTATGTAGGGATAGGGAATGACTGTTAATGAGCATGAAGGTCTTTCTGGGGTGATGGAAATGATCCAAACTTCAATTGTGGTAATATTTGCTCAAGTCTATAAATATGGTAAAGGCATTGAATTGCACACTTAAGACAGGTGAATTGTATGGTCAGTTAATTACATTTCAATAAAGCTGTTAAAGATAAAAGTATGGAGTGGGCCTCAGTGCAGATGGCTAAAACAAAATGCAGGTGAAACTTCAGAAGGGGCTCTCAGGTGGAACCATCGGGTGTACTAAGTGGTGACCCTGGCCAGAGCAGCTCTAACAAAGAGGCAGGCAAGGGGTGCAAGCTGGAAGCCGACAAGTAAGTAGAAAGGGAGCCAGTAGAGACAGCTGGAGTAGATCACGTTAGTGTGGATTTTAGCTCTGAAAAGAGTTCATGTACGGAGTTGTAACTAGAGGGGAAAATAGAGGAGCGGTGTTTTTAAAGGGGTGATTTGATCGTTCTTATAGGCTGCTTCAGAAACCAGGATCTGGGGAGAGAAGGAAGATGCCAGTGGAGCATGGTCTCAGAAGTGGGAAGGATGGAGTCAAGAATACAAGTGAAGGATTTGCCCCAGGAGCTGGGAAGTAGATACAAGGACGACAAGGTGAGGCCAAATACCAGTGCCAGGTACACAGAAGAAAAACCAAAGCATAAAGAAAGCTTCATGTGCCAGGGGTTCCACAGGGAGTTAATAATTAATTTGGTTAAGTCCCAATGCATCTTGTAAGCATTTTTACAAGGCACTTTTCACATGTACTCCCTCATGCTTCTGTGGAAAATCTGGGCTCTTCAGATCGATTCACACCTTAGCAAATGTGGAACCTTTCCCTTCTGACTCAATGGTAATGGTGTGGGTTCGACGTAGCAGGATCTGATCAATATCTTCTTCACAAAATTTAGACCCTTCATCCTCCTCATCCATGAGTGCACCATAGGCCCCTTTTCGTAGAAGATCCTCTATTTCTTTCTTGGAAAGCTGTTGTACCTGTTTTTAGAAATATTTAAAATATTCAAAATAATTTAGAATTAAGAGGCTTAGAGACTAAACAAACACTGCATTTTTCTCAAAGACAGCAAACCTGAATTACAGCAAAGAAAGTGTGACAAAATACAGTTAAAATATTGAGATCGAAAAATAATCAAAGGCTGAGTAATGTCTTACTATGAGCTAAATAAAGGAAGGTGCCAGAATAAATGAATGGTTTGGGCAAGGGTGGTTTTACCCCATTGGTAGCATTTTCTCTTCCACTCATAGACTGCAGCACAGCTTTATCCAGCCCCAGCTTCAAACTAGCCTTGTCGAACATTTCCCTTTCATAGGAGTTTCTTGTAATCAGCCTGTAGATTTTCACAGATTTGCTCTGTCCTATTCTATGACATCTAGCCTGAGCCTGGAAGAAAAATGAAATTAACAGTTATTGCAATGAACTGAATGTTTGTGTCTCCCCACCAAATTAATATGCTGAAACCCTCCTTCCAATGTGAAGGTGCTTGGAGGTGGGGCCTTAGGGAAGTAATTAGGTCATGAGGGTGGAGTCCTCATGAACAGGGATTAATGCTCATATAAAGAGAGAGAGCTGGCTCTCTTTAAGCTACATGAGGACACAGCAAGATGATGATTGTCCATAAACCAAGAAGAGGGCCCTCACCAAGAATTTGACTCTGCTGGCACTCTGTGCTTGGACTTCCAACCTCCAGAACTGGGAGAAATAAACATCTGTTGTTTAAGCCACCCCATTTATGTATTTTGTTATGGAGGCCTGAGCTACGATGGCTACCAAAGAACAACAAGACTCAATTGCCAGTTATAAGACCATACGTGCCAATAAATAGAGGTGCAGTTTAGAAGAGGGTTAAAGTACTAAAAAACTTCTTCTCTGGTTATTAATCAACAGGTTACTAGTTGGTTACTTGCCCTGAAACATAGGACACAGCCTGAGTGATGATGCAACATTAATTTATGGGTTTGCCTGGTGACTCTCTGTCACAGTAAGTAGAATGACTTCTTTTTCAAAGGCATCAGAGGACTTTCTTGGGCATTTACCTGGAGGTCATTTTGGGGATTCCAGTCTGAATCAAAGATGATGCAGGTATCAGCAGCAGTGAGGTTAATGCCTAAGCCTCCTGCCCTTGTACACAGGAGGAAAACAAACCTATCAGAATCAGGTTTGGAGAATCTGTCGATAGCTGCCTGGCGGAGATTGCCTCTGACTCGGCCATCGATCCTTTCATATGGGTACCTAAAAAATATCAGTATGGACAAGGAAGCCTGACACATAGTGACAACATACTTGCTCCTCTTTTTGAGTATTACAAAATGGTACATATATTAAAAGACTAATACCACTTAACAGAACTAATCTCAGAACAAATAGAGTTTACTGGAGTTTTTTATACAATTGATTGAATGACCAAGGATTAAATTTTATTCTACTTCCTCTCCAGGGAAATAGCTAAACTCTAAAAAGAGCTAACACTTCTAACAGTAAAATAACGAATAATGTCAATTTTAAGTAAGAACTATTCTCCCCTACTCAAATAAAGGCAATGGGGAAATAAAATTGCCTTAAAAAAGTATGCAGTATCCTCCTGTGTCATCATATAAAATAATCATCATGTACATCTACAGTTTTAAAAATGGCATGTGATACATTTTCCCCATTCTATCCCCTTTATCATAAATACCACTTTTAGGTGGACCACCTGGAGCCCTGTGAAGGTAATTTTAGATTTCCTTTTTATTAGTCTAATATGGTGGCCCTCACCGTCTTTGAATGAGGTAGTCTTCCAGTATGTCCAAGCAGCGCACCATCTGGGAAAAGATAAGCACCCTGTGGCCACCAGCCTTCAGTTTTGGCAGCAGCTTGTCAATCAGCACTAGCTTGCCAGCAGCCTGGATCATTGCCTGGAGCTGAAAATCTGGAGACTCTGCATTGTGTGTTTCTTTAAACTCTTCCAAAATTTTCTCTTCAGCACCTGCAGAGATTGGACAGCATAATGTGAATACTGTAAAAGGTTTTTATTACTAAAAACAATGAACTTGCTTTCAAAACCCATTGCAAACTGTAGGAACCAGAACACCAAACTCCTGCTTATGAACAAGAATCCACCCACTTACTCAGAGTTGGGTCTATACAAAACTGTGGATGTACAAAAAGGATCAAAGTTTTAAGCACAACACATTGAGGCATTTAGGGGGAAAACCACATTTTTCAACAAACAAATGTTTGCTGTCTGTAAAAACGGAATTTCAACAACAGACTGTCAAGCCAGAAGTGGCAGAAACAAGCCAAGGGCCAGATACCTACAAAAAATTTGGAACCTAAATTGCTAAAGAAATGAAGAAATGTTTACTAGCTGAACATAAACACAAACAACAAAATCTGTTCTGAAATGAAGAAACAAAGGAATCATGTCCTAACAATTACAGTGTAAGAGCAGTAGTAGTTTGGGTCTATAACTGCATATTAATATAGGCAAAGGAACTACAAAAAAGAGGAATTTATTTCCAGGATAATGTCTTGGAATATTTGTGGGGGACCTAAGCATTCTATCTATTGTAATCTCTAAATCTCCCTCTACATTCATTCCCATCTGATAATTTTTCCTAAGATACAAAAATTCTATCTTGAACTATCCAAATCTATTAAAGTTAAAAACAAACAAACCTCTAAGCGTTTGATACAAGACTTCTAGGCTTAAAACGCTTTTTTTCCCCCGCATAGCCCCACATGGAGTTTTGCTGATCCAAAGACTTGGGTACATTGGAAAAAGCTCTCAAGAAGATGACATCTTCCTAAGGAAAGATGCCCCCACCACATCCCTGCCTGACACACGCTTCAGCAGGCTAAGCTTCCTTCAACTGCTTAGGTGGCTTAACTAGAATTATACAGCATTGGTCTGGCCTCCTCCTGCCTCTGGGGTTAATCAGGACATAGCTGTTGTGTTCAGTTCCTTTCCCTGAAGGTGGAGGATGTGCTCAACTATTCTTTAGAAAATACAAACACACACATTCATCTTAACGGGATTGTTTCCCAGACTTTTAACTGTGTCAGAAACTTAAAACTACCTTCCTACCACTGGTTTTAAACATGTGAACTAACTACAGAGAAGATGGGGATACATAAACCTCACAGAGGGAAACGTTGGGTTAGTGTGACAGGCAACCGCAGCCTCTCACACGGTACTGCTGCAACAGGCGCAGATGGAACAAAAGTGCAATCCTATCCCTACTTTACGGCTGCGAGGAGAAATTACCTTATGGTACAGCCCTATGTAGAAATACACCTTGTTAATTATTAATCAACAAATAATTTACTGAGAACAGATTAAAGTCACTTAATGTCTTCCCAAGCACTAAGGCCTTCCACAAAGTATACTACCTTCTTATGAAGGGGGACTAGCCCTTACTCCTTTTTCCATGTGAATGAAAAGCTAATGTTTAGAATTTTTCTTTAAATGTGGAAAATAAACGCAAAAGTAAAAAACAAAATGCTGTTTAAGAGCATTAGCAAGAATGTTCTTAAAGTTAATTTTTTAAAAAAACATGGAATTTAGAAACCCAGGTTTAGATTCAGGACAATACCCTACCGTCAAGAGACAGGGAAAACAGATTTAGGTGAACATGTTACATTAGGGTTCTTTAAAGTGTGTTCTTATTATCCAGTATATCATAAGCTCTGAAATTCAGAAATAAGATTTTGTTATAATTATTTTTTGTCCATACTAAGTTAAAATCCACAATAATATAAAATATAGTATTTTAGTCATTTGAAACAAATTAATGGCCAATGAATATTTTTCAAAAAGGAAATAATCATTTTGACAAAATAAACATCAGACACATTTTAGTTCAAAATTTTTTAATATAAATAATTCAGTTAAATTTGCAGACAAATTTAATTTTAAATTTATTCAGAGATTTAAAAAAAAACTTTTTTGCCTTTTTTTATACTACCCGAAACTTCCCATTTTATAAAGAATAGTCAGAAAAAAAATGCATTCTTTCTTACCTGACAAAAGCTACTGCTGAATTAATCCAGCTCTTTGTTATAAATTCAGGTTTTTACAACTGGGAGCTAGTTTACACTAGTAATACTTCATTTAAAAATAATATCAGCAAACATTCCTACATGAGTGTCCTGACATTATTCATTGTGGCAACACTGAAGGAAAGAGGGTGGGAACAGTGTTGGGGAGGAAGCAACTGCCACCTTCTAATGTCACAGCTGCATTTTCAAGATTATCAATTAACATTTGATACCCAATTTGTAAACATCAATCTGAAAATTAACTGGAAATGGGTCATGACAACTCAAAACACTTTGCCGGTTCTGCCCTAAACTAATGTACGGCTGGTACTCCGTTGGAAAGTGTATATACATAACAAAGGCAACTTGAAACAAGTGTGCACTGACTTCCAGCTTGAAGTCTTTTCGCTTCAACAGATGGTCACTGTCAGGACAGTAACTGCAGCGTCATCTAACTACAAAAAAGCCACAAACAAACAAGAAAATATTTTGTTCTTGAAGATTACCAGAAAAAAAACAAGTTAGTTTTCTCTCTGAAATTCATTCCATCCATGTAAGCCTCATTCTTGTTTTCTTTTTGCCCACTATTCTCTACACGTTCCCTGCCTCAAATAATAACCAGCAACGACTCTTAAGTCAGCTCTAACCAGTAGGGTACCCTGGACATGTTTTCAACATTATTCTTAACTTGACATTATAAAAACTAAAAATTGGAAATTCCATTCAAATAAAACTTGGGCCAATAACAGTAACTCCATTTATGTTACTCAGTTAGTTACCTTAACTTGTTAACTTTCCTGCTTAACTTTTAGCAAGAAAACAACTAGCAGAGTGCCTAGAGTGTGCCAGGCACTGTTCCAAGCACTCAAGTAAAATTAAGGGTCACATTAAAAATATTTCTCATTTACATACAGTTTGTGTTCTGACAACACTTACAAACTTTTTTCCTTGTCCTGTACTTACGTTACTTTCAATTTATGCATATAAAATTGCTTCTATTTTTCATAATTCTGGAAACATGTTTAATTGAATGTGGATTGGGGCTTCTTTACTCTGCCACAACCAATTCAAATTTCAACGTAATCTCCCCAATTAAAGAACTTCCTTCTAAATGTTTGATATGTTTCTACTCCAGGCTGTGGTTGAGAATGAACAGTTCTGACCCTGGAGCAACCTCTACACAATACAATGTCTATGTAAGTTATCTGGGCAGCTGCATGCTTAGTGTGTATGTATCTATACTTTTTCACTATAACTTCCCCAAATTCAGGGACAAGGACAACTGGTTAACAGATACTTCTTAACTTGTTGTAAGGACAGAAAATCTGAGCTCAAGATGTGACCAATTAGAACAACTACCACAGATGCCAAGCCTTGGGGAGTCCTAAGAGGCTCCTGGCGAACAAATATGCTATAGAGGATGACCCTGGAAAGCAATCAGCAAACGAAGAGACCCACCAGCTGTGTTCTGGGGAAAAACATTCCACAATGTTCAATGTATATAATAATATGACCAAACAGGGTAAACTTGATGGAATTAGGGGTGGCAATCTAACCACCATCGCTGAGATCTCCCCTTTCACACACATCCTGCTGGTAGCATTCAAACCCTTTTGTATCTCCTTTTCTTTTCTTTCCCTTTGGAGGCTATTATTTCTTTCTTTTGTACCAGCTATTAAATTCAAACGCGTGTGTGTGCACAGTGCATGCACACACGTGTCCTCAGCTCACACCATCAGTCACCCTAAGCTCCATCTCTCCAACTCACAACCCAGCTAGTTGACACTCACCATAACGGCTGTACAAGCTCTTAAACACACTGCAGGCTGGCAGTATTCGACAAATAATCATCACACAGGATACTTCTTTAGAAGACAAAATTAAAAGCACAAAAAGAAATTCACTGGCTGGGCACAGTGGCTCACACCTGTAATCCTGCTACTTTGGGAGGCTGAGGTGGACAGATCACTTGAGCTCAGGAGTTTGATACCCGTCTGGGCAACAAGGAGAAACCCTGACTTCACACAAAATAAGCTGGGCATTGTGGCGTGTGCCTGTAGTCCCAGCTACTCAGGAGGCTGAGGTGGGAGGGTTGCTTGAAACTGGGAGGTTGAGGCTGCAGTGAGCCCAGATTGTGCCACTGTACTTATAGCCTGGGTGCCAGAGTGAGACCCTATCTCAAGAATAAAAAAAGGTGTGTGTGTATATATATATATACATACATATATATGAAATTCACTGATCCATTGTACCACATCAATAATCCCAGGTGCAACGCTTTGAGACTGTCTTCTTGGCGTGGACTACTCTGTTAATTAGTAATGGAGACTTCTGATTGTGGGGTGGCTGATGAGGTATAAGTTATTAAAGGGGAAAAGACTAGGAATTCTTTAAGTTAGCTGTCCTTGAACCTCACAGACTATTAAAGACAGACGGAGTTTTGCACCTTCTTCCTTAGAAAGAAATCTAATTGCACTGCTGGCTAATTATCATGGCGTACAAGTCTCCCAAATTAGCCTGCACCACCTTTCTTTAACCCACATTAACTCCTGCCCAGCACACGACAGCCTCAGAGCTGGTCTTTCCGCTTGTCTTTCTTTCCTCCTCGCATCGTTTTCATACACTGTTGCCTGACGGATCACCCTGAATCATATTTCTAATGGATGCTCAGCTCAAAAGCTAGTCATAGTTCTTCACAGCCTGCAGTGTAGAGTCGAGGTAACACGCACTAGCCTTTAAGGCCTTCTGCAGCAGGGGCTGAGCATGTCTAAGATACATTTCTTACATGTGCCTTTTATTTTGGGCAAGTTCTTCATTGTTTCCCTGACTCCCTCTCTTTGCTTGTATTATTATTTCAGTCTAAATACACTTTCTTTTTCTAAAGACTCTGCCAATCTCAATCTCTCAGCTAACCTTGCGGCTCCTTGTGGCGAATGCTCCCCTCTTATTTACCTTTGCAGTCTCCAGAGTATCTTATACATCATAAGCATGAAATAGTTATCATCTTACTGATTTCCAGAAATATAAAGGTGTTAAGCCATGAGTTATATAACACTATGAATTTAGTTAAGAAAAGAGGAGGGCCATAAATTATCAAAGCTTTAAGTTAATCTTTTTGTTCTCAGCGGATAGAGGTGCTGGATGATTCTGGACTGAGAGGAAGATGAGGACATTTTCCATCAAAGGCTTGAGACAGCTAATAGCTATCTGCTCACACCTAAGTTCCTCTTTAACATCTCTATTTTAAATACACAAACCCCAAGAATACCTCCATTAGGGGTAATTTCTCTTTAGCGGTTAGCACTTCCGATGACTTCTAGCCACGGAACACCAACACCTCTCTTCAAGCACAAGGAGGTAGGAGAAAGGCAGGGTGAGATTCCATTTCAGGGATTGCTGGGGCAATGGTCACTTGCCTTCAGCAATCACAAAAGGAGGCATCACAGAAACTGGGAAGCTGGTGAAACCCACGCTGAGTGGACAGGAGACAGGAATGACTATACACCATGAAATCCCCAGTCTGGGGGCAGAAAGGGATTTCTGGTGCTTCAGTTGTCACTTAATTAAGTTCCTGGGCAGGGCACACTTACCATTGATAAGGTATGGATGATTGCAGCACTTCCGCAATTCCATCATAGTGTTTAAAAGGTTAGGTACATTAGCTTGCCCACCACCTTTGGAAAGAAATGTGAAATTCTTCTCAAGGATGGCTCGGTAATATTTCTTCTGAATGTTTGTTAGCTCGACTTCAATAATAGTTTCTTCTTTGGGGGCCAAGTTCTTTTCTACATCCTCTTTGAGACGTCTCAACATCATTGGCTTTAGAATAGCTTGAAGTTTTTGCACCTAAAAAAAGACCTTAAGTAAATACTGGTGTCATGATTTGCTTGCAAGTTAAAACACATTCTAACATGAAAAATCAGGATTGTCTCATTCATTGACCATCCGTTTTCATTTTTCAAATCCCAGGTAAGAAGAGTATGAATGAGCTAACCTTTCAGCTTTCACAAAAGCAGTGCATGAAGGTTGGATGATTCTATGTTAAATGAACTATTTCACCCATCCAGGAGCCCTGAATAGCCAAAAGGCTTGAAAAGTGCCCAGAAAGAGAAATTCAACTTATCATCTAGCTTTCCCTTCTGTTTGTCTTAAGCCATAGGGAAGATAAAGAAGAGGAACAAGACAATGTCATGACAATGCTCTGTTTCTATTCTCTTCCTTCCTAGGGAGAGCTAAAGAATGAGAGGAAGTGAGCCAGGAGCAATCTAGTCCCTGCACGAGGGAGCCAGCAGAGACATCTCTCCCTGGTTCTCTTTTCTGCTGATTGGCAATAGAATGTAGTACTCCATACAGTTCTTATTTTAGAAAACAAAACAAAACAACAAAAAAAAAACACAAAAAAACAGACCTTACTCAACTGAGCTAAGAGGTTTTAGACAGTAAGTCAGGGGAGGAGGCACATAAAAACCAAGATTTCAAGTCTATCTCCATATTTATTTCAAATACAGCACACAAATTATAACTAATACCCACACAACTCTTACAGCATATAAAATAGCCAAGCGCCCAACTTGGCTAACATGGTGAAACCTTGTCTCTACCAAAAATACAAAAATTAGCCAAGTGTGATGGTGCGCGCCTGTAGTCCCGGCTAGTTGGAAGGCTGAGGCAGGAGAATCACTTGAACCTGGGAGGCGGAGGTTGCGGTGAGCCGAGATCACACCACTGCACTCCAGCCTGGGTGACAGAGCGAGACTCCATCTCAAAAAAAAAAAAAGCCAAGTACTTTTCATACACAATACTTCATTTATTTCTCACAGAACTACTGTACGGTGGTTATGCCTGAAGTTTCTAAAGTGAAAATATGTAGGCCTGAAGAAGTAAGCAATGTGGCTGAGTACAGATGCTTTAGAAAGAACAAAGCCTCCAAACTGCAGTAGGCAAATAGTTCTACCAATGTCAGTGGCTTCTGACATCCCCCAAATTACACATACATAGCAAAACCACCAACCTGCACAACACAGCTATCTCTGAAAATTATAGCAACAGGTATGTAACCTCTCTATAAATCTCAACAGCCCTTCACAAGAGCAAATAGACAAACAAACAAAAAACCCTTTATAATAATGATCTGAAAAGTCCAAGGAAAGGGTATCTAAGGTTCAGTGTACTAGATGGGGAAAACTGTAATATAATCACATTTTAACTTAATTATTAATACTTTGCCATTTCATGGGCTAACCTTCAATTTTATGACTAAAATACAAAGTGGAGGTGATAAATACCTGCTCTTCTGTTTTTAGATCACCAAATTCTTGCATAAAGGTGGTTTCTGAAGGGAAGCGACTTGGTTCCAAGAAATGAAGCAAGCTGAAGAGTTCTTCCACAGTGTTCTGTAGCGGGGTTCCCGTCAGCAGCACTTTGTGTTCCTGAGGTAACGCAATGAAAGCCACTAAACAAGTTGTAACAAAAATACTTTCTTAAAACCAGAGCCTCTCACTAGACACCCATTGTTCTACTCCTACTCATCCATCCTAGGCAGAGTATAAGAATCAGGCACGAAAACAGAGATATTAGAGCACGATTTCTGCTTCAGGGAAACGGATGTGTAGACAGTCCTCTCCAGAACTCTACGGGGTTCTTAAATGAGTCTTGCCATGCTTTCTAAGTCCCCCAAGTCTCAATGCTTTTTTTCCCCACCAGTTAGGTTTTTTTTCGTAGAATCCCTAGATTCGGATGAAGCGTGCAAACTTCTTTCTGCTCTCTCCATCAACAGTGCTCTCATCTCTCCATCTGCTTCCTGCATGACTCACTTTATAGAGACAAAAGAAGTTCTACATGCAACAGCATATGAAAAACTATTTTGTTCTGCAAAAATTTCCAACTAGCAAAGAGGTCAGCTGGGTTGTAAATACCACAATCACTTTTTTTTAATCAGATGCTATTTATAAATTTGTCTCTTTGAACCAAGTTAGGTATTTCTTTAATTAATTCTTCCTGTTTACAAGCTCTTTCCCCAGCTTTCCTCATGCAGTTGTACCTTATCCCTCCTATTTCTATATATGCAATACAGAGGAGCTGTTTTACAATGACCATTCTTAACAATAGTAAGCTATTAATGTTAAGAACCCTATTATCTTCTACTTTTTTTGGCCATTTGGTACACAGCACAGCTAATAAAACTATTTCAGAAAGTAATTACACCTCCCAGTAGTTGAGACAGCAATATTCTGACTTAACTTGGAATCTGACAAGTCCTGGTTGCCAAGCAGAGTATACACTCAGTAAATACTAGATGAATAAGTGAAGAACATACTAATTTTCTTAATATCTACCATGTCATAACTGTCAATGATGCTCTTTGAAAGTGAGGTGAAGGAGTTCAATATGCTAGTATTCCTTCTCTCACCCCTGTGAAAAAAGTATCTGAGGAAGTTTTATGGACCACCATCACCTTCAGACTCAGTAAATTAATCAATCAATTCAGGATTTTCTAATGTATCGCCACACTTATGTATAGCCTGGGCCACAAACACTGACATATCCAAGTCCTGGATTACTTTATACGGAATTTTATTTAAGTCCCATCAGAGATTCAGGAAAGAGCTATTGTGGTAGATGAGCTGTATTGATATAGTGTCTCCCAGTTTTTTTCATATCCTTTATTACTACTAGGATTTAAATTAAATCCTGACTACCTAACCAAATATTTTAAAAGTTAAAGCCTTTTTAACTTATTAATTTCAAAATAAACGTATTCGAAAAAAGGAAAGAACTCCTTTCTTATGCAGCTTCCCTTCAATGGCTGTTAACAGCCAGTTATACCATATGATTATTTGAAAGTGAGTAACAATGAAAAAATACACAATTACTATGCACAGTTTCACAAAACATCATGTAAGAAACTCAAGCGATGGAGCTTATCACCTCCACCTATGCCAGCAGATATGCTTTTGCCTTAACAATGTTACCATTGTATTTAGCTCGGATGAAGTGATGTGCATTTAATTTCATTTTAAGCAGACTCTTTGTGTGGGGTTTCCCGACAATAAAAGATGAGATACTGGAATCAATGAAGAACTACCATGACCTCTACAGCATCCCCTCCTTGTGGATGGGGGACAAGGAGATGGCTACTTTCCCAGAGCTCCTGTGGAAGACTGTGAAGATGGTGACTGCCCTACAATGTATCATCTTCGCAAACATTTCCTTGGTGCCTGCAGAGCTGAAGACACTCATTGGTCTGTCTTTCTGAGAACGCACTTGGAGATAATCCCCATCAAGAGCATTTTCATCACAATTCAGTCTAGTGCAGGTAACAGCAGTTCCCTGTGGCCTGTTCTGTAGTTGGATATACTTACTACCCACTATTTTGACTGTGACTTATTCAAGGAAGAATATAAAGCAGAAAGTGGCTAAGTTCTCAAGATGCTTATTCTAAAGTAAGAATCATTACTTTAAAAGACCAGGCAACGAGCTGTTCAGAACTGGACAAATACAATTATTTTCTGAATAACAATAATGTGTTCCATTCTTGAAAACATTTCTTCTCAAATAAAGATTCTTGATCATCAGAAAAATAAATATTTTGTTCATGTGCTAATCAGAAACTTCCCAGTTGGTGGGCCAAGAATGAGTACAGGTTGTAAGTCCTTGGAGACAGTCAGGACACCTAGGACTGGTGGTGTCCTGTGGCAGTGGGCAGCCTTCTCTTTTTATTTGAGTGTGGCATTCAACCACTATCATTTTCTGTATGTGTCATTATGTGAAAAAGCTTAAGAACACTGCAATATGTAACAGGAAAATTATTTGGATAACAGATTCTAATCCATTTATCAAATGTTAGTATAAATAATAGAAAACTCTTTGAAATAGCCCAATGACAAACAGATTGTTTGATGGTGATAGAGTTAAATTAATGTATACTCGCCACTGAAAGAATGTTTTACAGTAAGAATCTATTATCTGGGAACATATGAACTAATAATAGAACACAACTCAGATAAACTCAGTCAGATGACTATTTAAGCCTTCAGGAAACGGTGATGTAACTGTCTCTTAGTAGAAAACTATGAAGGTGCATCCCTACTGAGAAGATATATTTAGATTATATCACAAGCATTAGTGTTTACTTGCAAATACAAGTGTACTTGATTTTAATGCTTAAGTATCGCCTGGAGTGAACAAATACAACCAGAATTTCTCTTCCATATGCTTACCAAGGTCCCTGAGACTATTCACTGTTTCTAAGCAGTCTCACTTGTTTTGTGGACTGGCCACCAAGTAATAGTCAACTGCTTTGAGACAGAACTTAGGATAGCTTTAATAATAATTCATTAGGAAAAAAATGGGAAATCCCGTCCTAAATAGGATAATTCAGTCAGACTTTTTCCTTTAATCAAAACTAGATTTTGTTTATTTAAACTAAAAGCATAGCTGGCAAATCCAATCTCTAAGAATAGAAGAAATTGCTTCAGAGAATCAGCTGCAACAGAAAGCTTTTAGGTGTCTTTTGGTAGTACCAGTCTTTAGCTAAACACATACGGCCATGAATACACAGGATACTCCTCATCTCAAACTCTCAGTTAACAAAAGGTCAAATTAACCTACAGAAATTAGCTCTAAAAATATTTTTAAAACCTTTTTCTAATTCCGTGAAACTCATCAAATCACCCAAGGCATGCTAAATGACTGTAACTCTATTTTAAAATGTACATTAAAAATGAAATACAAGTGATCATAACCACTACATAAGGGATAAGTGTGGTGTAAAAACTCAGATCAAATCCAAGGCATTGTAATGCCCCAAACTTGTAAGCATCTGTGCAAACTAAACCAACCTCAGATATCCTACCCAACTCATTGAGAACTTATATCTACAAGTCCTGCTGGCCACAGTATGGCAAAAAATATATGAGCCCTGGAACATAACTGGACTGCCATCACTGAGGTAAAGCTTGGCTCAACAGTTAATGAGATGGCAGTACAGCTTAAGTAGCCCTTATCCAAAATTCTTGGACCAGAGTGTTTCAGGTTTCAGATATTTTTAGGTTTTGGAATAGCTGCATTTATACTTACAGGTTGAACATCCCAAATGAGAAAATCCAATATCCGAAATGCTCCCATGAGCATTTCCTTCGAGCATTATGTGGGTATTCAAAAAGTTCTATATTCTGGGATTTTTGTATTTGGCATGATCAATCTGTACTTATGAACAAAGGGTAAGGCAAATACTTGAAACTCACTTCAGTGAAGATATCATGATTTTACTCTGCTATTAAACAAGTGTTTAAAGATACTAGCCAACAATATAAGAATCCAAAAGGCAACAACTTTTGAATGAATGAAAGTTCCAGAGAATATACCACAATATTTGACAAGCTTTTCAAATACTCTTCACAGGCATCAAATTCAGAGCCATGAAACTATCAAATCAGCAATAATTCTATTCAGGTTCAGTGCAATCACCAGTATGATCACTGACCAAGTCCATCATCTTGAGTCCCTCCAACAGCTTGCAGTTCCTGTTCTTCAGCCTGTGGGCTTCATCAATGACTACACAGCGCCATGGAATATTCCGCAGCTCAGGACAATCAGTCAAAATCATCTCAAATGTAGTGATGATGGCATGAAACTTATAGGACCCCTTTATCACTCGACCCTATAAGGACAACTCTGAATTATTATTAAGCATTTAATGATTACATAACTAACTTTAAGGATGAATAAACAGTATTAAACATATGTAGTTATCTCTTTGAGGACCTCTTTATTTTAGGTGACATACATTCTGTTTTCAAGTTATTTGGCGGTTTTAAACTATATTGTAAAACAAATGAGAAAACTGTCAGTACATTTTGGATTTAATTTCCTAACAGATCACATGTATCAATTACCACTAAGTGTACCCATTCTAGTCACACATTCACTTAGGACAGAATTTATAATTTCCCAAATCCAAAGGTAAATACAGATTTCAACATTTTTTTCTTCTTTATTTAATTGTAGGTCAGATTTATACTTAGAACAAGCACACACACAAACATATATATATAAATAGCAATAATATATATATGGCAAAAGTCCTATTTGCAATTACAGGACTTCCATTTACTATCCATAAAACTATTTTAGCACATATTATTCCTTCTTACCATGTCATTTATAATGCTTCACTGTTGATACACACTAGTGGCATACAGGTAACTAGAGTAAAAAAAAATTAAAGCAATTGCTACTAACAGCCAAAGCATAAATTCCTTCCTTGGGATATATTTCATCCCTATGTGTCATATATTTCAAGGACTTTTTACACGCTTACTATTTTTTTTACTTCTAGCAATAGCATAATAAAATATTCTTTCTATTCACATTTAGTATCACCATTTTTTGTTTAGTTTTCTCTTAGACTTGTAAAATAAAACTAATTAACATATCAATGCATTATATGGATTTCAGTGATCAACAAAAGCAAAAAAAAAAAGAAAAATCACTCCTTCTAATTTAATAATCAGAAAAACCAAAGCCATAAAAGTAAAGAGATGTTTCATAGACCTAGAAAGATAATACAAAAAAAACTGAGTCAAATATCTAAAGCAAATTTCTCAATTTGGCAAAAATTAGACCTTCCCAAGTTACCAAGACTTTGATTTTTTTTTTTAACACCTTAAAATCCGCAGAATAAGCACAAAGAATACAACCCGTGAAATTTTTACCTGGGGATCTTTGAAGTACATTTCATACAACTGAATGGTCCGACGACTAGCTTGACTCCCATGATACACAACCACATTCAACTCTGTCCAGGTTCGGAATTCCCTTTCCCAGTTGGGGATTGTGGACAATGGGGCAATTACTAAAAAAGGGCCATGGATTCCTTTCAAATATATCTCATAGAGAAATGTAATGGACTGGATAGTTTTTCCCAAACCCATTTCATCTGCTAAAATGCAGTTTCGCCTTTGGGAGGAAAATAAAGTACAAAAGTTTAATGAGTATGGATATGAGACACTGCCGTCATTTCACAAAATATATACCACTGTACTCACAAATGCATATCCAAAGGCTTTAGATGTTCTCTTAGATACAACAAAATATATTTTCAAACAAAATTCTCAAAGACGAAAAATTATTTTTACATACTTATATTAATCTCTGTATTCATATTTGTTAAATAAATATTACATGTATTTCCAACGCTTGCTTTTAAAAAAATTTTTATTAGAGTTAGAACATTAAGTTCCTTTTTATTATTTTCAGTAACTAAACGAGCTACAGATATACTTAAAAAGAAAAACATGTTTTACATACATGTTGTACCAATTGAAAAGTAGCCAGTTTACTCCCTCCAACTGGTATTCCCTGAGTTTGTTATTGTTTTTATACTCCCTGGAACTCTCCGATTTCTTCCAATCATCAGCAGGAGGTCGCTCCTATTTCAAATATAGTAAATCCCATTAGTGGTACCCGGAAGATCACACCACTATGCTATTTTCAAATTAAAATCTCTCCCATCAGCCAGTTCTTACCACACGCTCTGTTTCCGGCTCCCTGGACATTAATTTCTCAAACTCCTCGATCTTTGCTTGATCTATGTCCTGCCTCCGCTCCCACGTGCTGTCTTCATAAGGAAGTGAACACCACTTCACCAAATAGTGAGTCACAGGCTGGACCAGATTTAAATAAATCAGAATTGGATTCATTTGACCACATATATATTTTTTATATATATTTCCATATACATTAAGGAAAAGTATGCTTTACTTCATTCATCTATAGACATTATCCCAGCATGAGCAAGTCTGAATTGACGGATATTTAAAAACTATGACCATCAAACAGCTGTTCCTAGTTAAGTCTCAAGTCTAAACTGGAAACAGTATTATTTGGTTTATCAGAACAAATTAGCCTTTTATCAATATCATTGGTAAGTGATGTTCAAAAGCCAGGAAGTATAAAGAAATAGCTAGTAAATAGCAAAGCTGAATTTGAGATTTGTTTTACCTGTGCAAATCATTCATCAAGAGTTTGATTCAGATTTACACGGTAAATCATCCTAGCATATTTAAATATTTACATAATTGGATGGTTTCTTAAAAAATGAGACATAGACTTAAATTTATTAGGAACTCTACCTTTTCCTTAAAAAGAGTGATACTGTTTGTATCCAATCACATTAAAATAATATATTTGAGCTTTAGAAGGCTGGAGGCAAAATATTTCAGGTAATGCAGATCAACAGGATTTCCTTTGTCTTTCTTCTAGAAAACACTTGGGTTTGTTGACCTTCATTTCAAGACCAAGGTACACTGATCTGGTTGTGATGTGAAAAATATTTTCTGTACAATGTAAATATGCTATGAAATAGTTTTTTTTTAAAGTATAACTAAGCAAAACCTGAAAAGTACAGATGTTACAGATATGGTCTTGGAAACAGCATAGAGTGTCATGACAGAGTTTGGAAGAAAATGAGAGTTCTATGCAGATCCTCCCTAGATGAGCAAGATCCAAACACTGTATATATAAAATTGAATTTACATGGAGAAGTCAGGAAGGACAGAACTCACGGTGGGTGGGCACATCATTATCAAGACACGATACTCAGAAGTCACTATGCTTGTCGTCATTCTTACTTCCCTATCAAATATCCTTTATAATCTCACAGGGTTTTGCAAAGCAAAATAAGAGTGCTGAGAGCAGGATATTTTAAAAGAAATAATGTCTGTTGGCCTCTGTGCACCACATTAAATGAATTCATCAACTTCACTAATGCTGTCCTATGTTAAATAATCTTAAACTCCATTCTGCCACAAGAGACACTCAGGTATATGAAGATACTCTGTGCAAGATGATAGATTTATACCAAAATGTACTGAATTCTTTTGGACATATGGTAGAACTGTACAAAATGTCAACATATTTGTTTCATACTGAAAATCGATTGTTCTTAAAAAGCTCTCAGACTAAACTAAAACATATTTCACACCATTATTAAGTCATAAAACTAATAATGAATCATTAAGTTTCAGTTAAATTTAGACCAAGTGTGTCGCAGTCCAAGGCTCTAACCAAGACCAGGTCTAGGATGCTACCATCTTCCCTATAAACATGTATGGGCTGCCTGAATCACCACTTTGTAATACAAATGATCTCCTGTTACCTCTCCCCGGTCATCTGTGCTACGTGCAAAGTCCATTATCCGGTCAACCTCCACATAATCTGGATTAAAAAGCTCATCCTCAATCTACACCAAAGGGAAAAAAAAAGTTAAACGGTTTATTTATTTCCTGAGATGAAATACTATTCCACTTTTTACCAGGCAATAATATTTTGGGTCACAGCAATACAAATCTTATATTTGGCAAATTCTATTATATTAATTGAAATGCTACAATTTAGCAAAATCATTCCCCATGAGAAAATCAGACTTCTCAGACTTTGTTAACTGGGTCTTTTAATTACCGTGTGAAGCCTTTTACTGTGAGAGAATGTTTAAGAATATTTTAAATGAAGTGTGAAATTACAATTCACTAATGAGCAATCCAAAAGGCTTATGGCATGCAATGCATTTAGCATTCTTGAAACTACAGTTTGCAATGAAGAATCAGAGTCATGCAAAGTGTTACTTAGAATCTCATAACTCCTGGAGTTGTCTGATGCTTTATAGCATCATTTACAAAATGTTACTCAAAAGCCAAATACACAGAAACAAACTAATTTCATATTTTAGCATGAACAGAGTTTACAATGTTTCGTAGTCTTTGCCAATCAATATTAGTACCTCATTTAGAGTAAGTCTTGTCATTAATCTAAGTGTTCTAATGACTTATACTGAATGTTTAGGGCAAAGTATTTAGGATAAAGAGATGAGCCCTAAATAATTGGCTTATTTAACCAACATATTAAACAATCTTTACAAAAGTAAAGTAATACTGTTGCTTGCAAAGGTATCTCTCATAAAATATTAGAATATGGCTCAAAAGGAAGTTATAGACTAAGCCATACCCAAGAGAAGTTGGGTCAGACAAGTTTCAGATGTTAGAAAACAAAAGACATTTTATTATATGCACCTCTCGATTAACTTATCAATAATATAACTGCATTAAAATATTTTGCAAAAGGCAAACTAGAAGTCACTTAGACACCATTCTTAACCTTTGAATTGCAGGTTGAAAAGATAAACAATTCAGTCGTCATCTGCTCAAGAACAACAAACCTTCCCTGGCTACTCGGCCTCCTTAAGGCACCAAGTTGGGAAGCATTGAACTGTGAATTATGAAACAAAAGGCAGAAACACAAATATGTGTCTCAACTACCTTAGGCTTTGACACAGAGGTGATTAGTGAGGCAAAAAAAAAAAATCCATTGAAATGTTCAACTATTATAAAGTATTAGTATATTAATGCACTGGCTTTGTCAAAAGCTTCTAGATTTACGTAAACATGTGTTATCCATGTACAGCAGAAACACTTAAACTTTCCCAAAACTAGGTTTTGATGGCAAAAACTCTCTTTAAAAAAACTTGTTCTTAAACTCGAGCTTTCATATTCAGTACTGAATTACAATCCTTAACTTTTCCTAAACATTTCTACCATTTGAATAATCTATTGCATCAGACATGTGATGACATTTTCGATCTAAATGATGTTTTTGAATAGAGATTTTAGTTGCAGCAGGCTCGTAAGGCAGCCTAAGGAGAAACAAAGAATATAAAAGCAGATGAAACTGAACATCTCAAAGCAGTACAACCATGGAAGATTTGAAGCTGTGATCATGTATGGGATGAAACAAAGTCATGTGCATGTGTGAGAGAGGGAGGAAGGGGACTGTTGTCCTTCTCTGCTAACTCCCACTCAGGACAGAAATTAGGACTTCCAGCTGCCAAGTTACCAGGTAAATAATGAACATTCAACCTTGGTATGTGTAGCTAGGGCTAGGCACAATTTCCTAAAGACAGACTACAGGAGACAGAATACAAATAAACGTAAAAAGCACAATGGTAGCTTTCCCCCCATCCCTAAATCCTGGTCCTGGATTTAGAGATGGGGGGAAAGCTATCATTGTGCCTTTGCCTGTTTCCCTCCCCCGGCCCACAGAAAAGGTCAGCAGAACATATAGTGTCTCTTTCCAAAAGAAGGCTAATGATTTCAGCTCATCCAATGTCACATAAGTTTAACTCTGGTTTCATTAAGAAGGGCATGAAAAACAGAACCTCACAGCACTGTCCTCAAAATCAAATATTAAGATTCTTTCTTCGAAAGAATTTTCCTCAAAGTTCTTTTGAATAAATAATCTTCTTAACATTCTCCAAGATCTAAGAACCGAGTCACATTTGAGTAACTCCATTCCACTCAGTGCTAACCACTGTACTGCCGAAAATGCTGCATACTCAGAGAGCCAGAGGTGGTGATGCCAACATGTGTTTAGGAAAAGAGCAACCACATGACCTCCCAGCAAATGCAGACTTTACCATAGGCCAGTTGGGATCATGGAAATCAGATCCCAGAAGAACACAGACTTATTGCCTGATAGTATAAGGATTTTATGATATAAAAGTACTAAATATTCTTCTGTCCCACCTTCCTTCATCTCCAAAAAGGGGTGGCAGTGAAAAGTAGGTTGTTAAACAGATACTATTTTGCATCAAATTGTATGCTTCTTTACAGTTTACATTCTGTCAACTGTTTTATGAAAAGAGGAACTAATAAGTCAGCAAGTCCTATCTTTCAATGTTAGGGTTTTTCTTTTATCTACTTGAGGCTGTAAATGAAACTAAATTGGCGATCAAAAGTCTAGAGACCCTAGTAAGAAGCTTGTGAAAGCACTTTTAAAAAAATGTAATTGACTGTACTGGGCAGGGTGGGAGGCGTACGGAGGGGCAGAACTGGCACTTCTATTAAGTGCAGATTTTCTTCCCTGCCCTAGGTATTGCTGTATTTCTATAGCTGATACCTAGGATAAAGGAACACAGGCAAAGATATTATTACCAGTTTCTGTACTGCACCACAGCATTTGCGAAAATGAGTTTAGTGAGCTCTCTGTGATTAGGCATTGATTTGAACAAAAGAAATTTGTCACATACTTTCCCCAACAGAAGTTAAGCTTTTGTATCTTAGAACTTGTACTCAACATTTACTATAGAGTTCTTAACCTGCTCAATCTCAATACAACTTTTGTTCACTTACTTAATTTCATCGTCTAGTGACTGTACTTTCTTTACAAGATTTTTATCATACCATCACTGCTATTTCCACATAATATCATAAGGACTGGTATCTTCTAGAGTAAGCAACAGGAAGAATGAGAAATTTCCTGTTTACAAATTTGTTAGCAATAACCAGTTACCAATATGCAAGCAACAGCACCAAATGAGGTTAACTAGTTTTTCTTAATTTGCTGAACTAAAATTTTAAATTTAGAACATTTTAATAAAGTAAATACTTTAGAAAAGTAAGCAGGTATTTCGTACCTCTGAAAGGAACTTGTTCTGGCCCTGCTTTGCCTTAAATCGTTTAATTTTTTGCTGAATTCTCTTATCTTTTTCCAGATCTTCTACAGATGCCCATTGACAATGAAGATAAGAGCTGAAAGAATAAAATAATACGCTTGAAATATGTAGAATATAATTAATCCTTTATTATATCTTCTCTTATTTAAAAAAAAGCCAACTAAACAGGCAATTAACAAAATAACCTGCTTAATTACTCATTAAGCCTGCTGAGCAACATTTAATATACCCACTAGTGTTTAGAACAAGAAGAGAAAATCAATAGTAGTGCCTAAAATTTGCCTTCTGTCCTAAGCCTCCAGCTCTCTTACCCACTACCAGAGATGGGGTCGGGGAAGGAGATATCGCGCGCTCTCTCTCTCTCTCCCTCTCACTCTCTCTCTCTCTCTCTCTTCCAACCCCCCAACCCCGTCTCTCTCTCGCTCTCTCTCGCTCTCTCTCTCTCTAGAGAGAGAGAGAGCGAGAGAGAGCGTGCGAGCACGCACAAGCCCAGCTGTCTTACCCACTACCAGAGATGGGGTTGGGGAAGGAGATACAGAGAGACAGTGAGAGAGGGAATGGCCTAATAACAAGCTATTTCCATATGTGAATGGATTATACTTCAACATAAAACAATTAGCACTACAGGGTGGCTTCAATTCTGAATTTATACTTTGAACCTCTTATCACTGAGAAGTAGATTTTTATCAAGTTAAAATAATTCAAATTTAAAGTAGCAGTTTCTTTGAAGATAAGAGGTGTAGGGTACCCTAGAGTTACCCAAGACCTGTCATACTATTCCCAAAGGGAAACCTAACCTTGTCCTTCTATAGCAATCTAGGAGAAAAGAACCACTGTCTGCTCCTGGAACACCAGGCCATGCCCTCTCACCAGCTCCTAATCAGTTCCTGGACTCCCAAGCTGTGTTCCTACAGGGTTCTGCAAGACGTCCTTGGTCCCCTGTGAATGTTTCACTTGGTATCATCTATAACTGCAATAGGCAAACCCCTTCCCCTCAGACACACCACCTCCTGCTCTGAGCATGTATGGTGTTTTCCCTCACCTGAACTGGAATATATTTGCACTTCCCTTTCCTTCTCCAACACTCACAGGTCAACAGTTAATGATTCATAGCAACTCTGACATTCTTTTGTTTAGTTCTTCAATATTCTTTTGTCCCATCACCCTCTCCCTGCCCCCGAAATAGCCCTGACAGCCTCTTATTTCTCTTTCTGGTGATGACATTAGAAGAAACGATATCCTTGAATATATATACCTATTTCAGAATCAACATACTACTACGGTTAGAAATTGTGCTTTAGCAGAATTCAGAAGTTTAGAAAACGAAAAAGTAAAAAAAATTACACAACCATTAAAAAATTTTCAAAAATGATTTATCACATAGGAAATGCTTATGATATTAAGTAGCACATAACTGATAAATTATGCAATATGATTTTCAAAGATAGGATTCATTTAGTCCTTCTATATTTGAGGGAGAAAAGGATTTTAAATACATATGACTTAAATAGCTATGAATTGATATCAACGCTGTACACACACATACAGAAAATAGACTAGATGAAATTGTATCAGAATGCTAATACAGGTTGACCATCCCAAATCTGAAAATCCAAAATCCAAAATATTCTAAAACTCGAAACTTTTTGAGCACCAACATGATACTCAAAGGAAGTGCTTCATAGAGTATTTTGGATTTCAGATTTGGGAAGCTTAACCACTAAAGTATAAGGAAAATATTCTAAAATTTGAAAAAATCCAAAATCCAAAACACTTCAGATCTCAACTATTCCAAATAAGGAATACTCAACCTGTAATAATTATTTCTGGGTACTAGGGCTTCAAGTATTTTATTTTCTACTTTCAATCTGTAGTTTCCAAATTTCCAATAAATAATATCCAATACTGGCATAATCAGAAACACATATTATGTGAGGCAGGCAGATCACCTGAGGTTTGGAGTTCGGGATCAGCCTCACCAATACAGTGAAACCCCAACTCTATTAAAAATACAAAAATCAGCTGGGCCGCGGTGGTGGGGACCTATAATCCCAGCTACTCAGGAGGCTGAGGTGGGAGAATCACTTGAACCCAGGAGGTGGAGGTTGCAGTGAGCCGAGATCACACCACTGCATTATAAAATAATAAAATAAAAATAATTTGCCCTAGTCTCCAAATTATTTGACAGAAAAAGCACTTGTGCAGTCAGTTGGTATTCTTGTCTTGGCTGAGGTGCAAACGCCTTCAAAGCACCACCTGTATAGCCTTGAGGTGGCACCAGCCCTGCTTTATCTGCTATAAACTAGGTTGAAATTTTCAGTGTGACTCTGCTTTCTAGACCCTGATGATAACCCATTCTGGAGGCTTAGCCAGGAAGAAGAGGGAAGAAGAATGAAGGGTCACAAATAGACTGCTTTGTGTTAACAGATAATTAAGGCAAGAAAAAGTTCTAACTGGACTAGAACTAAAATTTTTTTAAAAGTTATGAAGAAGTAAACGTAAGAAAAATATTATGATGCTAATAAGAAATCATCTGAACTAGGCCCTACAGATAATACAGTTTATGGTCACTTTGGAAAACAAAATTTTATTTTAAAATGTAACTACTCTTTATGAAACAGGTACACATTTATACCGAATCTTTACAGTTTTCTTAAAAAAAAGTAAAGAGCATATCCTGTACCCATATCAGTGCAAAGTACTAAATAAAATATTAAACAAATATAACTCCACATCACATTAATAAAATAATACATCATGATCAGGTTGTTACTTATTTCAGGAATGCAAGGTTGGTTCAATATTAGGAAATCCACTAAAAATACACAATATTAAGATATCTAAGGAGAAAAATCGCACAATTATTTCTAGTGATACTGAAAAAACATCTGACAAAATTTAACACCCATAATGGATTTTTAAAACTTAGGAGGATAGGAATTAATAGGTATTTTATTAACACAATATTTGAAGATTTTAGTTCTAAAGACAGGATCTTACTAAATGAAGAAACGCCACAGAGTTTTCCACAAAGATCAGAAAGCATGGATACCTATGATCTCCACGATTATTCAATATTGTATTTGAGATTATTAGCCAATGTCACTGACAAGTCAAAACAATGAGGCATAATAATTAGAAAATAATAAGTAAAGCTATCTCTGTTTGCAGATTATATGATCAGGTACCTGGAAAACCCTAGAGAATCAATTAGAAAACTAACTAAAATAATAAAATAATCCAGTAATGTATCAGAATATAAAATTTGCAAATAGAAGTCAACATACTGTCTTCATTAACACCAACAATTACCAATAAGGAGGTAAGTTAGTGAAAACCTCTTTCACAACATCAACAAAGATAAAATACTTGGCAATAAACTTAATTAAAAATATGCAAAACTTGTGCAAGAAAATATTTAAAACTCTTACAAGACATAAAAGTATAACTGGACCAACTGAAAAGACACCCTTGTTTTCACACTGTGTAACTCAAAATCATACGCCATACATTTGTAAATTTAACACAACGTAAATAAATAAAATGCAAACAGGCATTTATATGAAGCTAAACAAGACTACATTTTATATATATAAATAAACACGCAAGAATATCCAGGAAAACATTAAAATATAAAAGCTAATAGGGAACTAGATCTACCAGATATTAAAATACACTATAAAACCTCCCTAAGTAAATAGTGTGGTACTGGCTTCTGAATAGACAAGCGGTTCAAAGGCATAAAGTACAGATAAATAAAAATAAAATAAATAAACTTTAAGACATAATAAAGTTTACATCTCAAATCACTGAGGCAACAATGGACTTTTTCTCTTTTTTTTTTTTTTTTTTTTTTTGAGACAGAGTCTCACACTGTCGCCCAGGCTGGAGTGCAATGGCACAACCTCGGCTCAACTGCAACCTCCGCCTCCTGAGTTCAAGCGATTCTCCTGCCTCGGTCTCCAGAGTATCTGGGATTACAGGCGTCCGCCACCATGCCTGGCTAATTTTTTGTATTTTTAGTAGAGACAGGGTTTCACTATGTTGGTCAGGCTGGTCTCGGACTCCTGACCATGTGATCTGCCCACCTTGGCCTCCCAAAGTACTGGGATTATAGGTGTAAGCCACCATGCCAGGCCAAAAATGGACTCTTAAATAATGGTGCTAGAACAACAACTGAAAAAGAATTAAATTAGAGCCATGACTTATACAATACACAAGAATAAACACCAAATGGATCAGGTACCTAGGTGAATAAAATAAAACCACAAAGAAAACATGGACAAATTCCTCTGTAATCTGGATATAGAGAAAAGCTTTCTAGCTATGACACTAAAGCTAGAAACAAAAAAAGAAAAATTGTTAAATCTGACTGTACAAAAAATTTTAATGTACAATACAAGAAACACCATCAGGTCAAAAGACAATTCAAACTGAGAAAAGATAATTGCAACATATAACCCAGATAAAGAACAAATATCCCTTACATATAAAGAGCTCTTAAAAGTTGAGAAGAGCATGACAGAAAAATGAGCAAAAGACACAGATGACTGGCAAAACAAGATGTAAAAAGTGGCCATTAAACTTATAAAAAGGAGTTCTTATTCACAGTAAGAGAAAATGCTAAATAAAACCTCAACTGAAATACAATTTCTTACAAAAATTAAAAAGTAAAACAGCACATTATGCTAGAAAGGTTGTGGGGAAATAGGTGTTTGCTGCATACGTTGTTGACAGGAACACAAATTCATACAACCTGAAGGAAGGGAATTTGGCAGTATCTCTCAAAAATACATACATGTTTGCCTTTTGATCTAACAAACCCACTTCTGGGAATTCACCTGGAAGTCATGCCTCCAACAAGCTGAAAGTCTATAGATATGAATGAGAACATATATTGTGGCATTATCTGTAACTGGAAAACATCAGAAGCCACTTATACACCCACCTACATAGAAGGCTGGTTGAATGGTTATGGCACAGTCATGCAATGAAATATTAGGCAGTTGTAACAAAGAACGAGGGGGACCCCTACGAACTGATGCAAAGTGATTTCCAGAATATAGTGTGGAAAAAAAAAGAAGAAGCACAAAAATGTACTAACAGTATACCAATTTCTTTTTTTCGTAAGAAAGAAGAGGAAATTATACCTGCATGCTCATGCCAAAAATTACAGAAAGGATAAACCCAGGATTAGTAAGGAAATAAGCAGGAATGAGGTGGAAAGGAAGGGAGGACTACACTTCTTTTGTGTATAGTTCTGACTTTTGGAACATATTAACATTTCACAAACTTGAAAAACAATTAATAAAAATCAACAGGGGGCTAAAATGGAATACCAGTACAAGCCAAAACTAAGGAAACACACTGTGTATCATGTAAGCCATGAGGTCTCAACCTTTTTTGGCACCAGGAACCAGTTTTGTGGAGGACAATTTTTCCACAGACTGGGGCAGGGTTATGGGCGGGGAGAGGTGGTTTGGAATGAAACTGTTCCACCTCAGATCAGGTATTAGATTCCCACAAGGAGCACACAACCTAGATCCCTCACATGCACAGTTCACAATAGTGCTCACGCTCCTATGAGAATCTAATGCTGCACTGATCTGACAGGAGGCGGAACTCAGGTGGTAATGCTCAGTTGCCTGCCGCTCACCTTCGGCTGTGCGGCCAGGTTCCTGACAGGACGTGACCAGTACTGATCCACAGCCTGGGGGTTGGGGACCCCAGAAATAAATAACAAACTACACTGGTGGGGTAGGAAAAGAGAATAGCCAACCCAAGGAAATTCTGGATAAAGTTTTAGTCCCTATGCCCTCAAATAAAGACAAAAAAACTAAACAAATATAGGCTCTTTTTCACAGAAGTATGGACTAGCAAGTAATTCTGAAATCACTTCCTATATATGTAAGGACTGACAAAAAAGCAAATATAAAAAATAAGAGAGCCAGGTTTATTCTGGTTGAAGAGGGAATTATCAATATTAAATGGGAAAGGAGAGAACGAACCCTGTGGTGCTGGAATAGTAATGGAAGTATCAATATACAGGCACTCTTTTAGCTGTTGTGTCAGGCAGGTAGATAAATATGTGTGTGTACATAATAAACAGATAAGTATGTGTGTAACTCGAGATATATATATACACACATATACATACATATATATATGTATGTACATATATATATATATATATCTCCACACACACCCACATGTATCTGTACACTCTCCTAGCCCTATCTACTGAGAGAGACTAGAAGCAACAATTCTTCAGCAACAAGGAGCAGACCTAAGGCCCAAATCTTGATTTTTCAATGTCCCGCTTCACTAAAAGCAATCAAGCGTTCTTGGAGAAGTAACTGATTGTATAAAACGGGGGAGTTACAAGATGAGCCTGAAACATCCTCTGGTGCCAGAAAGCAAGAAAGTATTCAAAGAAAGACGGAGACAAGGCAATAGGATGGAAGAGCCAGTCTGAAGAGGCTCCCACTGGCCAAATCTGGGATAATGTGAACAATGTAAATATTATGACAACAGTAAAGAGTTATAACCCCTTGAATAAAATGAGAAACCACAAGTCTGCACAGCTATCAATTAGCAAATGGGCAAGAAGGTAAAGCTCTTCTTTATGGTAAAAACCCAGCCAATCAATGGAGAAGAAATGATAGAATTAGTAAATCACCACTTAGCAACTATTACCCTTTTAAGTCTCAAAGTATCTTTTCAGAAGATACACATTAAAAAAAAAGAAAAACAGAAATTTTTGTATTATTTTTATAATTTTCCTACAAACGTGAAATTGTATCCAAATAAAAGGCTAACAAAAACTCTTAGTTTTAAGGAAATCTTAATTTCTCTTAGCTCTCTAATAACAGTCAGGAAAGCTATTGTTTTTTCCAAAACTCCCTTTACCTCATCTCAAATGACTTTGGAGGAGGGCTAGAGTCTCCTGATCTTGCGGTGGCACCTGGTCAGGAACTCGGAGCCCATCTCTGGGGTCACTAACAGGCTGACTGGAAGGAGGCCTCACTGTCACACACTGATCTGGAGGTCTCTCTGGTAGTGCCATTATATATTGGAACGCCTCTGCTCTTGTTTCGACTTGGTAAATCTACAAGGGAACTCTCTCTCTCTGGTTTACTTAGTTTACCTCCTCCTTACCATAGGAAATCGTGTTGTAGGCATAATTTCCACATGTGTAAACTGACATGCTCTGAGGACAAAAGAATGATGACAGTTAACATTTTCTGAGCATTTTTAAATTGTCAGACTGATTTAATTGAACTCTCATGATAAAACTGATAGCATGATAAAACTGGTAAGAGATTTACCTTTTTACTTGGTAAAAGGTTTTACTCACAACTTCTTCAGAAGTGCATCAATTTACTAACAGTGCCAACTACAACAAGGGAGAATGATAAAAAATCCATGGCACCTGATGCTTTCACTTTCTAGGGTGGGATAAATTTCCTGATGCTGTTTTCACAACTTCTCTTTAAAGCCCTAAGAATGTATTAATATGGTGGTTTAGTTCTTTGTCTTAAAAGGGATACAAAATAAATTTTTAAAAGGGATACAAAATAAATTTAATGTTTACACTATCAATAAACATTTTTGCCTTTGTTCTGTGATTGTTATTTAGGTTACAAAAATGGCCTCAGTCTTCTTCAGCAGAATGACTACCGACTAGAAAACATCCTAGCTCTTCACAATGTCTGTTTGGGCCAGCTGTACTGCCTACAACAGAATCCACAAGGACAACAACTCACTGCGGTTTTCAGTTCAGATTTTTAAATTGTGCAATTCAAATCTACTAAAAAAAAAAAAAAATCAGAAACAAATAAAAATAGATAAAGCTATACCTCACTGCATTTTAGAACCTTAGCGATGTCATGGTTCTCTAGCACTTTCGTTCCACAGGAGAGTTCTTGTCTCTAGGGCCTTGCCCCCCAGGCACAGGTGAAGGGAAGAAGTGCAGTCCCCAGGGGTAGAATTCAAGATCAGAGGACAGGGAAATACTGCTTTATTCATTTTTCTATTATTGTAGAAGTTTTTATCCTCTCTAAAAAATACTTATTGGTTATATGCGGAAGTTAGTCAACTTTTACACCAATTACACACTTTCCAGAAAAACTTAATTCATAAAATATCAAAGATACAAAGGTTGGTTAAAAAATGGTCTCCCAGGCCATGATGACTAAATAAATCATACCAAAGTTCCTTAATTTCCGAATTAAAAAAAAATGGTTGTTTAGTACTTGGAAAATATAGCCCCCCCCACCCCGCCCCATTAAAAACAAAATCACGATTTACTTACAAGTTTTTGTATTTCACATAGAATTCCTCAATTTCTACCTCTTCTCCAGATTCCTTCTGCAACAAAAGAAAATTTCAGGCACATACTTAAAACCATCTACTAGAGTATTTCGAAAGTCATAATTTACTACCATATGAGCACAAAGCAGGACTGAGAAGAGCAGCACAGGACCTTCTCGTAAGATGATTACGCTCTGCACTGGGAGGCGGTCAGGGCCACGAAGACTGCCACGCTTAGGCCCATGCACGCACCTCTGCTCAACATGCGAGAGCTTCTAAGACATGAATCACTTTAACTCCTCCCTAACCACATGCAGCTTCATTCACAACAACCTGACCCCAAATTTGGCTTTCTGCCAAACCCACAGTGTTAAGTAGATGCCAAGTGTACCATTTTCTCAGGCAGCAGCCAATTAGCAACTGCTCTCCTGAATGCCATATGTATTATTTTTGGCTGCCTCATGGCAACTTTACATTGTGGGTTTCGTAATGTTTTAAAATATTTAAAAGACATTTATTTCTCCATATACTTAATAACTCTAAACAAGAAACCATATAAAACTAAACCTTGTTCTTACGCTGTAATTTCAGTGCATCACTATTCATAGTTTTAGTTTCACTCAATGGTACAATTAAAATCTCTCAGACAAGATGTCTCACACACATAGCAGCCAAATAAAATTAACACTCCAAATACTACATTTAGGTAAGGTTAAAATTGTGATACATGTCAGCCAAATCAAGAGTTTTCAGTGGTAAGATTATCTATAATATCTCCCTTGATCCTACCTGCTGTACTGTATGCAGAAGATAACATTCAGATGATATTTTAGTTCTCTCTCTTTATTCCCCTTTTGGTTTTAGGCTGTTAAACAAGTCATAATATGTAATTTCCTTCTGGAACATTTGATCAGATAAATCAGGGATCTAAACTATAAACACCACTTACAGATGTTTGGGGATTGCTTTTACCCTCTTACAAGAGACCCCAAGCCTGCCTCGAGGGTCATGTATGGCTGTTCAGCCACCTTCGAAATGCTTTGAAAAAAATCAAAGCAAGTAGGAACATGGCAAAGAAGAAACAAAAGAGCAAAGGCTTCTACTGGATAACAGACTGGCACAGATCTGTTCAAAGGTACTAGTCCCCTCAATCTCTAACCTTCAAACTATTTTCAAGGATTGTGAACTTAAACTTTTCTTTGAAATTCTCACTTATATCAGTTAAACCTAATTTTTTTTTTTTTTTTTTTTTTTTTAAAGATAGGATCTGGCTTTGTCACCCAGGCTTGAGTGCAGTAGTACAAACATGGCTCACTGCAACCTCGACCTCCCAGGCTCAAGCAGTCCTCCTGCCTCAGTGACCCCTGTCACCCCACCACCTCCCCAAGTAGCTGGAACTACAGGCACACGCCCCATGCTCAGCTAATTTTGTATTTTCTGTAGACTGGGTTTTACACCATGTTGCGCAGGCTGGTCTCAAACTCTTGGGCTCAAGCAATCCCCCCGCCTTAGCCTCTCAAAGTGATGGGATTACAGCATGAGCCACCGTACCCAGCTAAACCTATATTTTAAATAGTTTCTTGCCTGTCTAGAAATTATCAAGAAGGAGTCTGGATATGCAGGTATGGTCAGTACCTATTAATATCTGGTTGTGCCCTAACGGATCTATGAAAGATCATAACTCTAAAGCATTCTTTTAAATAAATGTATTCAGAACACCTTCTATGTCACAGACTTTTAGTTATTCAAAATAAAAAGAAATGTTTGATGGATGGCTTCAAGAACCACCAACATAAATGGAACATGGAAATAACTTACAAATAAATACTAGCCAATTCAAGTGGCAATCCATCCAAGATCCACCCTACTTTTTTCTCTAGCTCTAATATTTCTCTATTCTACACCCATTTCAAGATATATTATCTTTATATAGAACCAGACATTCCAGTAGAAAGACAAAAAGATAGTAGATGGTCAGGGAAAAAGAGAAGCAAGGATGAAACTAGATCCTTTGATTCTTCACATAGCATTATCATGAAATTCAGATCAAGAATGGAACTCAAATGTCTGAGCTTTTACTCTTCTGATAATAATTATATTTCTTTCAACTTTGAAGGCATTTTAGAAACTACATATCTTCTGATAATACTTATATTTCTTTCAATTTTGAAGGCATTTTAGAAACTACATATCATTTATACAACCGATATATATGTTATAAATCATAAACAAGATTTATCATGTCTACACTCTTATTATTTCTCCTGATTCTTCTATCTGATCTTTTCTACCATACTGTCCTTTTCTTCTCATTCCAAATGGTCTCATCATCCCATAATTCTAAGCGGGCACCAAAACGTACAGGATCAAATCTTGAACAGTAAAGACAGTTGTTCTTCTGCCTCAAGTCTGTTTGAGAAAGCTGACTCTTACAGCCATCTGTCCCCAACTCTCATTACTACCCATTTTATTGTCATGATCAGCTATTCCTCTGGGAACCTGCTGTGAAAATGCCTAACAAGAGAGTCTAGGCTGCCTAAGTGGAACCAACTAGGTTCTGAAACTTCCTTTAGCAGCACCTGGAGCTGGTATAGAATTGACCCAGGGCCGGTATCTTTTGGATGTTTCAGAATATAACACTTTGCTCTGTTTAACGGACCACACATATTGGATTACCATCTTCTTGCTCCTAGAATTATAAATGGTGCTGTTTTTCGCTGTTCCTTTCATATAAATATGATCATCTTTTCTTTTACTGAACAGTAAAACAATTAATAAAAGTATGTAAATTTATAAGCCCTCAGAAGCATCGTTTCAATTATTTACTAAATGGGAGGCACTCTGACCAGCCTCTGATAGCAGCTTAAAACAGCCCCAACCCCAAAACCTCTCACTTCTAAGCCCCGTTTTCAGAAGCCATTCTACAATGGGCATAGGCAAATGAGTAACTAAGTCAAAGCACTATTTCCATACATGCACACACATATACACACAACAATCGAATTTATTTCTTGAGCAGCAACATTAAATTTGAGAACCCAGTAATATTATGCATTTAAGAGAATTTTTCTGAGAAATGTATATACCTTTTCATTAGACTCTGAGATTCATCTATGGAAATCCTTATTATTCATAAGAAATTTAAAGTTTCAAATATATTAAGCCATACTTGTCCCATTGTTCACATGACCCAGAAACTTTGAGAAGGCAATAAATGAGTTCTCCAGCCACCTGGATTCTAAATAGCCATCCAGAGTCTAGGCCTAACTTAGGTTTTTCCTAAGCATCTTACTACTAAATTAAGTTGTCATAGTCAAGAAACTAAACTACATAGCAAAAAAAGATAACATTTTGTTAAATAATACACAAAAGAATGAAAAAACACCTCAATAAAGTCATAAATAAGGCATGGGTATGAATTCCTGTTCACTTCTGGCCCAACCTACTGTATACTTTACTGGAGACACCAAATCACAGTTCACTTAGGGAAAAAATAAGGGCATGATAATGGATGAGATGAAGAGTTTTGCCTTCTTTACACTCTAAGGGGCTCAACTAAAGAGAATTAAAACAGTCTGAAAATATGTCCTGTAGTCAAAGAAAAATAAAAAATTTTAGGGATACAGTCACAATTCACTTTTAAAACTACTTTTGACCTTCTGATACAAAAAAAAAAAAAAGGACTGGAATTATTCTCCAAAGATGAATGACTCAAAGCAGAAAGAACTACAGGATGACTAAACAAGGAAAACAAAATAACTAGCCTTTATAGAATCAAAGTAACCATTCACATATCTACCTCAAAATTCAAATAGGCACTGACTATCTCATGCAGCTAGGTATCATGGACATTAGCCTACGGGCTTAGAACAACATAAATGCCTATTTAACATGAGGTGCTGAATTAGGATGCCTCTGCCAGATAAGTTTTGTGAGTTTACACAACTCCAACATAATGGATCATGATGCTTCTCAGGCTATAGAGATGAGGTCAACTGACTTTGAAAAACATGGAGTCTCTACTCTGTGTCAACACCATGCAGTGACAGGCTCTGAGAGCTCATAGCCAGTTTCTACAGCGCTGCCTGGCAGAGATAAAGACACCTTCTCACAGCCAATTATTAAATTATTCATGGTAATAAGAAACAGACCAGCAGGCATAGATAGAATCCACAAAAAAATCTCAAATTTCCTTTTGTTTCTATTTGCAACACTTTCTTCTAATGTTATTAAAGGTGATAACTAAAGTACCTACTTTGAGAATATCAGCAGTTTTAAAAGTTAGCACCTGTTAATGTTTAGTATCTTCTAATGTTTTTTATTGCCCTTTAAGAAATACCAGCAATTGAAAAGCAATTCCATGAGCTCCACATCTCTCCTTTATTTTAAATCATACCTCAAAGCATATCTCCCTTCCAGAAGAATTTTTCCACTAATTTTCTCCATCTTCAAATTCACCAACTCAACAAATGTCCACCCTCCTGTACAGTGATTTTTAATCTCCTATGATAAGATAAACCCTGTCATCGGTAAATGGTTAATAGCATCTATTCCTAAACCATGGGTACCTATCTTTAAAGGGCAGCTAAAGAGGAAAAGAAAACAAAAGCCCGAAAGTGGGCAACACAGAAATAAAAAGCAATGTTCTACATAATGTATAGTCTAAACAGCTCTGAATAATAGGGCTAATTATAATTTGCAACCCCTAAACCTGCTTGCTGAGTATGCCTGCTGAAGCACTGTCAATTGAATGAAAATTAATATATACCATCCAAACGACATGCTATTTACTCAAACAAGTCACTTCAATTCAGTGAAGGGGATTATTCTTCAAAGCATGTCAAGTATTTAAATTTTACCATATATCTACAATTCACAAATTAGCAGTTCTAGAGTCATTAGTAGGACAAAAATGCAACCTTCTAATGAGTTAAATAGTGCTCGTTTTTACTTGAACAAGTGGGAAATTTCATTGAGATTTTATCATTTAATTCATCAGGGAGGAAATCTTCACATCCAAAGAGTCACCAGATAGCCAGTCACTCCATGCCCCGTATCCCCTATACTCAATGAGAAAACAACTTGAAATGCTGCTCTTGATTACATTCATATAAACTACAGATGTATATTCTGACAAATATTTATACCTTGGATCACACAGACAGTATTGAAATGAAAGTAAAGAGAAGTTTACTGCTGGTACAATAACACATTGAAGGATCACTCAGTAGCAGTATTTGAATAGTAATGGTTTCCTATTTGATAAGCCTGGGATCTCACTTTATTATAGGACTCTCACTGAGTCCTGTTAAGTTCTCCATTCCTCATCTCTCTTACTGGGAAGTTACACTTTCTATACATTTTACGAAAATTAAACAAGTTTAGGCACAATGGCCCATATCTGTAATCCTGGCACTTTGGGAGGCCAAAGCAGAAGGATTGCTTGAGCCCAGGAGTTTGAAATCAGCCTGGGCAACATAGCTAGACCATGTCTTTATTGCATTGTTTTAATTTTTTAAAAGTTTGTTTTACATGCTGGAACACGAAGTTGTAGTTCCACCCTCCCTGAAAGCAAATAAAAAGAAAGAACTGTAACACAAACACCTATGTGTCTACCACTTTCTAGAGACATGGAAAATGGCATGTTGTAATACCTAATGCACCTGCAGTTTTATGTAATTATTCAAACTAAGCAAAGCATTTTCTCAAAGTGGGCAAGAAAAGCGGTAACTGAGATAAAACAGGGAATTTTCACCAGTAAAGAAAACACAGTGGCACTGGCATTTTTCATTAAAGAGCAGATAAGTTCCTCAATGACAAAGCTATCAAGCTAGTGACAGATACTTAGAGCTCACCTTTGCAGATCAACACAAATTTTGAATAATTCTGAAGTACTAAGTCAAACTATTTTTTAAAATTACACTGAAAATAGACCTGTATTTCATCTTTGCATTGGCAGGAAAGACACTAATGAATAATTCAATTGTATATGAAAAAATGTTAAAAAACATATCAGAAAACACCTACTTGCTAAAATGACAAACAGAATTTCCATCCTAACATGGAAGAGGGGGGAAACTTTCCTAAGAGAGATTAGAAGTAAATTCATGTTTATGATTTTTATGAATAACATTTATGAAAAACACAGTCTACAACTCTGACAGTCCCATACATTTCTTTGGAGACATTTGAGTTTCTAGTCTACTCTGAATGATTTAACAAAGCGCTGACCTCTTGATATATTTTAATTTCATTTGGGGTCAAATGTCCCAAAGATTCATATCGGGTTAATAAATTAGACAGGATTAGAAATATTACAAGTTTTATTTTACAATACTAGAACTTTAAAAGAAAATTACAAAGCCAACAATCTGTAAGAGTCTCATACATCCCACAGATTTCAATCACTCCAAATGATGCTCACCTGCTTTTTTACTGAACGACTGCTCATGATTTTTTCTACCACTGGGCCTTCTGCATCAACAGATTCCTAAAAAATAAAGTCACGTGAATCAGTCCAAATAGAACACATCTCATCCTAAGCTATAAAAGCAAGAAATCATTCCCCTTTGCTATCACCTCCACACCCTTTAGGTCACTGGGTACAAAGTTATCAGTGAGAAACGTAACTGAAAGGAACAAAAATCTCACCCTACTGAAAGGCAAAAGGAAGATTTGTGCTTATTAATTCATGATTACATAGTTTAATGATGTGGACCAACCTAGGTCCTTAAAACTAGAAAGCATTCAGAAATTCTAGCCACCAAGACAAATAATCTCTGAATGTTAGCGGTCAAAAATGTAACTTTTCTTCACCTATTCCATGAGGTAAATATACTCATCATTCTGCTATAGTAGGCATCTTTTATCTCTGATGTCACATAAAACACTATGTAACAACTTACCAAATGAAACACAAAGGTCCATTTAATATACTTTTCAATGGGTTACCAGTTTGTTAACTAAAGTACAGTAGTGGTAAGAAAAATGTATTTTTCAAAAGATCTTTGTAATAATCAATCCTACCTTACTACCCATATTTTATACAAACTGTTTTATCCATCATTTACATTGCACAGAGAATAAAGTACACCCTGCTGGGTACTACAAGGCAGTAATTTCATAAAGGGGTTCTCACAGTGCCTAACAGCAGGAGACAGGCTTGAGTGGTTTATTAAAGTCCCAGAAGCCACAGCACTGAATTCTCAGAGGTATATTCAGTCTCCTTATATTCTAGCTCTGACTCTTCCTCAGCATAGACCATTAATTCTCCAAAACTGTGTCAAATTACATATCACAGGCTTATATAAAAATAAATTGCAGTGAACAGAGCTTTTTAAAAGATACTGCTAAACAACAAATTTCCCATAGCACATTATCCAACATTAGATGGATGTTCCCCTGCTGAAAGTCTCCAATGCTTTCATTGCACTTCTCAGATTGCAGCAATGAAACTTCCAGTCCATCTTTAAAATGCATCCATGAATCCCACAGATCTGGCACTAACCTGCTGTTCTGACTGTGAGGTGTTGGAGGGGGAATCCCTCCCAGCAGCATCTGCATCATCTGCCTCCTCATCGGAAATCTTGAACTCCAGGTCTTCAGTGTAGCGCTTTCTCTTCACCTGTCTGCTGGACCGTCTCTTCTAAAGCAAAAACCCAAAACAGTGGCCTTGAAATTAGCAATTGATTAAAAAGAAAAATGTTCTTTATAATGTCTCAGAGTTGGAGAATGATTTTTTTTTAATTAATTGTAAGGAAAAGGCTGATAATGTTAATCCTGTAAAGGATGTGAAAAGGTCACAGTGGTAACAAATACAATAGAAATGGGTGGAAATTGGAGTCAGACGCCTGGAACAGCTGTAGCCCTGCTCTGCCACTCCTAGCTATGTGCCCTTCAACTGGGAAAATGGAAATAACAACAAATCTGGTTCCTCGCTCGGTCAGTATGTCCATCAAAAGTGGCAGCAATACTGGGGCTGGCTAATGAATCTGTAGGGGTTCATTATATTACTCCCTCTACCTTTGGACATTTTAACATTTTTCCCACATAATGAGTCCAAAAACAAAATAACTGCATTAGAATATAATGTGTAAATTACAAAGTTCTATACACATCCTGTTATAATACTATCCAAGGTATTTCAGGCCATTTTAAATAAAAGGTTTTTATACTTTAATCTTGATCCTAAAAAAAAATACTCCGAAAATTTCTGGAGATGAAGGGTTAAATGGAAAAATTCATAATGAATGACTATGAAAAGTAACTTTTTAAAATACAATATGTTTTACCATAGTGGTTTAAAATTAAAAATTAAACAGCCAGTATAAGCAGGATTACTGGCAAACTGGGTATTCTCACAATCTTGTGGTCAAAATGGAACCCGTACAATCCTTTCAGGACAATGTGGTCCTATCTATCAAAACTTAAAACATGCAGACCCTTTGACTCACTACTTTCACTTCCAGGAAGCTTGAGAATATCTGCAAGACAAATTGTAAAATAAGAAAAATAAGCCACATAACCAAAAGTAGCTTAAGATTTATTTAAGATAAATAAAAAATTTTGTGTATCTATTTGGATGTGTGGCTCATCGATACATTAACTTCTTAAGACAAAAAGACTGTATATCTTGTTTACTTCTCTATGCCTCAATGAGTATTTGCTGAAAAATGAATGTATATGTGTATGGCTTTAAATAACAAGGAATCTGAAAAGACACACAACAGACTATTAATAACTATTAATGATGGGGAGGGAAGTGAATGGAGCAGAACGAGAGGTTCTGAACTTTTGTTCGAAATAATTCTATGTTATTTAACCATTTTGTCAAAGAATTCATTTTGTAAGGTAATTAAAAATAAGGAGAAATAACCTTTTTATTCATATATGCATGTGAAATCTAAGTTTGAAAATGACACATGTAAAGTTTTAAGCTGCTAATGAATTCAAGAATATTACAACCTATGGAATGAGTTTGCAAAGCACATAGAAGAAATAAAAATATTGAAGAAAAATTTTATATAAATTTTTTTTCTAAGAATTATGAAATGAAACTTTTTAAAAAGTCTCATGAATGTTAAAGCTGAGAGTAAGGCAGAGAGAGGCAAAACATTCATTGTGTGCACCTAAGGCAAGACTGGCACTGTCATCTCTCAAGCCAGGATGAACACAATCCCAGTACTTTTCCCCAAAGAGTGGGGCTGATTGATTTTAATCTTATTAAGTTTGTGTTCTCCTTGCTCTTCAAAAGGGATTTGAGACAGTTCACAATACAAACTCAGTATAATATGACCATCAAATGGATTGTTAGAGACTGTTAGATGCAAGTCACACACAGCTGTGGCCACAGAGGTGCAAAGTACTTTTCTGATATGAGACCATTCTGAGTAAAGTTTATTAAGAGACTTCCCTGTGGCTTACACAGAGGGAGTAGTGACATGGGCCAGAGGTTCCTCCTGGGACACTCCTCTACAGGACAAAGCTTTGGCGCTGCCCAGATCAATTCCAGGTGGAAGCAACAGAGATTCCAGCAGAGGTTCTGCCATCTGCAATCCTTCCCCATGTCTCAGGTAGCAATTTGACCTTGTAAGTCCTAGAGCCCAGTGCCCTTGTTTGAACTGGCCCCGACTCCTAACACGTGACCGTGGACAAGTAATTTTGTGGACTTTGGATTCCTGGTCTGCAGAATGGGGTTAATGACAGTAACTACCTCATATGAATACTGTGAAGATCACATAAGGGAATTCATTCGAAGCATTTAGAACTATACATGGTACATACGTGAGATGTAATTAGTAGGACTAAAGTCATCACTAATCAGCTCAAGCTTTTCAAAGAAAAATGGCTCAGTTACCTTGTACAGCTTCCCTTTTCTTTCCAAAGCTGACCTACTTACTCCTGCTCTCATGCCCACTTTACCATTCCTCACTTCTGGACCACCAATTCTTCAAGACATAAAGAGCCATTATCAAGAACAACTTTAATACTGCAAAATTTATCATAATGTGTATTTCATTTGATATGTTGATTTAACTCAATTTAAATATATTCATTTATATTTCCATCTTTATGCTGCCATTCCAGTAAGGAGGAATGTGCTCCTGATGATCTGCCTGCAATGTTTCATCAGGTTTCCCTACTTCCAGCTCCACTGTCACAGTGTTGTACCACATAAGTAACTGGAAAAGGGTCTAAGACAAATCCATGTTATGCTAAATTCCATTCTGATGTTCAAGAAGGGTTCCAACCAGTAAGTAAGACAGGGCGCTCTCTTCTTTTTAAATTGAAATTTATGAGTTGGTAAGTTTAACTTCTAAAATGTAAGTTCCTCCTCATATCAACTTTGTGATATAAATCTGTGCAATAATGATGGGGTTAGTTAGTAGTGGATATGAGGTCACTTCAAACATATAAACAACCCCAAAATACAATTATAACTCAATTTTATAAAATTTCTTAATGTTACATGGCTTCTCTAGTTTTAAAATAATAATTGATCTTACATTCATTTTGAGTATCAAGGTTACTTTTACAATTCCCCAAGGTACAATTAAATTATTTAATATATCATGTTTCTATTGTGACTTGGTAAACTATTATCATCTGAAAGATTTTTGTGAATCAAAATGAAATGTAAGAACCGCATTTAAACCATAACTGAAAAACTTTTGAATTGACACTAAAATAATAGACCAACTTTTTAAAATTGGATTGCTTTGGAAAAGATACTTAAAACAGGTATAACAAATAGAACATTTACATGTTTCCACGATCTCAGTGTTGTAGTACCTTGTGACACAATTTTGAGTTAGTTAAAATTATATGACATGTCCTTAGTAAATCAATCACAAAACTCAAGAATTTTAATGTTAAGCCCTTCATGCATGTGTTACAGGAAGAAACATAATAAACAACCAGTCAGCATCACTTCCTGTGTCAGACATACCAAGAAAGCACAGCTATAAAAGTCAGACCTTGGGTGGATGCTTATATTAGCTATTAAACACATAACAGTTAGGCCCTAGCCAATTAGAAAGATACGCCAATGTTCACTTGAATTGAGCAGCAGTTTTCTATAACTGAACTGCAGCAGGAAAAAAAAAAAAAAAAAACAAAGCTAGTATTTCATAAGGTCCATCTGAGTCTGAATTAATATAAACGGACTTTTAAAAAAACAATAGCAGTATTTGTGAAAGAGTAACAGAATTTCCCCTACTGATGTAAGTAAATTCTTAATGTTGTCTAAGTACTATTGTCATAAAGGTCCTACTTACGGCAAACATAAATCAAGAGAAAATACTCTTAAAGATAAAAATAAAATTCAAAATCATTAAAATACTTGATTCAGTAAGACCAGATCTCAGTAAAAAAAATAAAAATCATTAAAACACTTTAGTTATAAAACAGCCTCAGCAATTAAAAAATGATATCTACTTACCTTCCCAATATCTTTCCACTGATGTGTAAAATAAAATTACATAATAACGCACCCTGCCAAAGGTATCACTATGTTAGTCATACAACCAAACCCAACTAAACCAAAACACACTCATTCATTCCATCTCTCTCCTTCCCTCCCCGCTTTCAGACTGTTAGCCTTAAGGCTATTCTAGGAAGTTTCAGATATCAGGGAGTTCTACTATAACAAACAAAAAGCCAAAACCAAACATATCTGAAATTCTTTGGAATAGGGCTGTACACTACAAATATTTTGTTTCTGATTGGTGGGGATACAGGTGAAAAGTCCTGAATGTGTACTAAATAAGAAAAAGTCCAGAAAGCTTCTCGAGGCCAGCTTCCTACTCCAGGACAACTCTTCAGTAACTGCTCCTTGACAACTTAGATGTCATTCACATAAGTTACATTCCCAGCCATCCCAGTGGACCACACTGGCATGCTTCCAGGGAACCTAACAAGGAAACAATTTTTAACTGTCACGTGTAAGGGTCCTTTTCAGTCCAATCAGTGAAGGCAGTACACTTTACACACAAGAACCTACATTCCTCACGTTTACTTCAGGGTTAGTGTTTCAACTGATTCCTATAAAAACTCTCCTCAACTCAGGAGAATATTCTGCAGAGCTGCCATTCGGGAAGTCACTGACTTGTTCATAAAAACTTTAGTATTACATGAATTACATTACTTGAATATATCTCAACTCTGACTGTCAGATGTCAAAAACTTTAGACAAGCTACTACAAATTTATCTTTTTAATTCTGAAAAATTTTAAAAAGTGACAACCAACCAAACTTTAGAGAAATGTAAAAATGTGAATGAAGCTTTAAATGAGCCAACATATTAACAATATGTTAACCAATATGCTAACAATAACATAAACAGCAAAATATACATTTACAGAAATAAATGAAGAATCTTTGTCTTATTAATTACAGAGTCAAAGATAGCAAAACCAAGTCACTCTCGTCAGGAGTATAATTTCTTGTTCTGCACCCACTCCCCCTCATTGCTATGGAGATAATATTCTAGACTGCAATAAAGACATCTCAAGAACATCCCCATAACAAGATAGGGGAGGTTCTAGTGTACTTCATACACAGCTAAAGTTACCCATGCTAACTAACCAAGGTTCGGGGATCACAATAATTGTATTACCTGAACACCTGGGTCCTCGTCTTCTTCAGGAAGAGGAGATGGTGGGGGTGTTTTGTCTAAGTCTGAATTTTCAGAACCTTCTGTTTTTCCCTTGTTGACCTTTTTCTTCAAAGCACTTGCTTCTGAGTCAGGTTTCTTATTACTAGAATTCAAAGTGGATCACTTAGTGTTCACTTTTTAATGTGTTTCTGCATGTCTCATGCCTTAGATTTCCCACATTAATATCCCAAAAGTATTAATGGCAATTGATAAATCAATACATGTTGGCTATTTACAGTTAAATGCAACTCCCAATTAAGTTTTTCTGCAAAATTCTGTATTAATCATAATCACTTTTAGCAAATATATGGCCTAATTAAAAATTGCATGCAAAAACTAATACCACACATAGTACATTTGTGCAAAAAGTCTGCCAGTAAGTACATCAAGCCATAATAAAAAATCAGATTAAGATCTAATTTTGCTATCAAGTTTTTAAGGTACAGAACACTTTTTTGAATTGTCATGAAAAATGATATCATGATCATCTCTTTGTGTCTTTTGTAGATAGTTTTACATACTCTTATTTAAGTATTCTTTTGACCAGTACTAGAAGGTGTCCTCTTTTATGCTGTTGAGTTACATTTTTGGTCAACTTATAATCTTTTATAATATAATCAAAATACATAGTAATTTCCTGTTGTACATAATTTTAGTTTGTGCTGTGTTCTTAATTAAATATAAGCTTTATTCTGGTTCTAGATGTTTTTTGAGATAATTGCAATTGGCCTTTTTTTCCCCAAAAAACAGTTTCCTGAAATACAAAAATACAGCAAAGCAACCCTAATAAAGTGCATATTTCATAGTTTGTTGCTGATAAATGTTATTAGAATTTGAATGTTACATAAGACAAAAGACAAACTTCAAAAAAAAGAAATTTTGAGTTTGCCATCACCTCTAGAACCTTTACCTGACATTTTTTTCAGAACATACACTTACTGCTACCTTCCATTTATATTTCCAAATCAGCTCCAAATTTTTTTTCCTTTTTTTTTTTTTTTTTTTTTTAAGACAGAGTTTCGCTTTGTTGCCCAGGCTAAAGTGTAATGGCTCAATCTCGGCTCCCTGCAACCTTTGCCTCCTGGGTTCAAGCGATTCTCCTGCCTCAACCTCTTGAGTAGCTGGGATTACAGACATGCACCACCACACCCGGCTAATTTTGTATTTTTGGTAGAGACAGGGTTTTGCCATGTTGATCAGGCTGGTCTCAAACTCCTGACCTCAGGTGATCTGCCAGCCTCCACCTCCCAAAGTGCTGAGATTACAGGCGTGAGCCACCGTGCCTGGCCATCAGCTTCAAATTTTCTAACACCAATTACCATTTGTTATCCAACACTGAGAATAATCCAACCTCAGTAATGATTTTTTTAAAAAAATTTTTCCTGGGAGCTTCAAATTCCAATAAATTTTGAAAAACAAAGGCTGTATTTCAAAAATCTTTAAAAGCTTTATTTACTGAAGTTTGTAAGTTCTCAGGAAAGTGTGCTGACAGAATACATTAAACAGTGTTTTTACCCTCAGCTACTATAAAAAAAAAAAAAAGAAGCCAAGATATCTATATGCTTTTGAGTAAAGCATGTGTCACATAAAATATTTCAAAAGCACTGTTAATATAATAAAGTACCCATCCCACACCTAAAATGTATTTTTCAACTAAATAGAATATTTGATCATCTTAAATTACTTTTAATAGAGTTTTATTTTATTTTGTTAACATTTTAGCATAGAAAATAGCTACATAAGAAAATAATTCAAGATCATAGCAAATGGCAGTTAGGTTAAAAAAAAAAGCTATTTTTATTTAAAAGAAAAGAAAAAGGCAGTGATCTAAAAACTTTCTCTCCAAAAGATCCACAGAAAGAGTAATATTTTTAAAATTAAAAAAATCCATACAACCGTTCCTCATCCAACTGTCCTAGTGTTTATGCTACACATGGACAGAAGTCTCCCCTACTATGAGGTTCCATTTCCAGCATTTATTTCCGCTCTAACTGCCACAAATTATACAATACTACAGCTGAACACTGGGCCCCTTTCCTTTCATCTGCACGCCAAGAGCAATCAGATTACCCTGGTAACCAGCGGTCACATGACCAGCACCTGCTCTTTTGGCTGGATGCCACTGACTAAAGCCATCTGCTTCCCTCAATCAGCTTTCAAACATTCTCAACACCTGCGCTGCAGTGTTTTGTGGTTTCTTTTATCAAATCAGTGCAAAACTGCTTCCAAAACTTTACATATTTCTCAAATTTGTTTAAATCAGAGGTAGGCCTGTCAAAGAGTTGAACCACTGCCAGGTAAAGTGAGTTGGCAGCTCATGCTTTTCACAGTGACCTCTCTATACCAGAGCGAAGTACACGGTTTAATTTAGAGGGGTTGCAGGGCCCTGCATGCAGGGTCCTACAGGAGTAAAAGGCTTACTATCTGGAAGCCAACCAGAGCCCAGGTTTGAGGAAACATCAATTTGCTGAAGGAGAGAAGTGCTAATGATTTTCCATCTGCCCTTCCCAAGAATGAACTGTATAGAACCTCCAAGATAGCTGAAAGTCAGACAGGCCCTCTCCAAATGTTTAGACAAAAAGCCTGTAGCCAAGGGAAGCACTTACCCCAGATCTGACTATGGAAAGATTTCTAAACTCATCAGACCTTGCACTATTCATGTTGTTAAGGGACAACTAAGCATTTCCAGGCAGCAATATACAAATCAAAGAACACCCTAGAAGTCAAAAAGGCAACAAAACCTTCAGTGTCCACCCTACAACATTACCATCAAGGACAAAATTAAGTTATGTAAATTAAATTGCCTTTGCTACTATTCTGCAATAAGCTAATTGAGATTTTCAAGTAAGTGTTGTATTAAAACTGCTTTGCCCAAAATTATCCAAGTCAAGATTTGTCTTTTAACAAATGAAGGTAATCTAGAATGGTGGATATGAGCACTGATTTGAGTCAGACAGATCTCAGTTCCAGTTTGAATGGTCATTTATAGGCTGTGACCCTGGATATATTACTTAATTTCTCTGAGCCTCAGTTTCCTCATCTGTAAAATAAGATTAATATTTATACATTCTTTCAAGATTCATTATGAGGTTTAAATGTGAAAATGGCACAGATGGTTAACATCCACACCCATGTGGAAAACAAGCAGCTGAGTCTGGGAAGTATTCTCTGGCCATGGCTCAGATCCACTTGGGCCGAATAAACTGCAGAAACTTACAGACAGGACCCCACCTTTACCAAGGATGACTTCATCCAAGCAACATACATAGAAGGAAAGCCTCCACTGACATTCCTAAACACTAGCTAAAAGAAAAAGCAAGTAAACAAACCTACAGGGCACTCCTCCCCATGACCATGACCATTGCTTTAGTTCAGACACATCTAATTTCCTGCCCAGACTATTAATCACAACAGCTCCCCACTGCCTCATCACGCTCATGCCCCACATGCAGGGCTATACAGCATCAGACCAGTGGAGAAAGGACAGAAAGTCCACATTCATAGTTATCATTTACCTCTGTAAGAGTCAAAACTAGTCTTTTATAATGTCAAACCCAAAACACTGGACATACATTCCTCTTCCAGATTACAACAGAAGCTAGAATGTATGAAAAGGGCCACTGTTCTAGGTTGGGGGCAAATAATGTATTTAAGAAGTAACAACCCTTAATCCAACACTGCAATATTGAAGATGAGGCTGCTGAGCTGCTTGACGCAGATACAGAACCACAAGACTCCTTTAACAGCTGCAGTGATGGCTATAAATGGGGCCTAGCTCAGGCCGGCAGCCACACAGCAGTCTGTGAAGGGGATCATAAGAATAACTAGGCCATGTACAGGGAACACCTGTAAATTCCAGACCTGAATGGTACCAGCCTTGAAGAAATCACGTCTTCCCTCATTCCTCTCCTAAACCTGCTCTGTCTTCCTGCATTTCCCACCTCAGCATCACGGTAATGCCACCAAAGCATCACCTGAAAACTCATCTCAAGTCACCAGAGTAACCAGCTAAAATGCAAACCTGACGGAGCATTCCTCTGCTTCAATCCTCTGCATATAATGTCTGAGGTTCTCCATATGGATGTACCAAACCTTTGCCTCTTATGTTCCAAGCATAGAGAACTCTTCCCCAAAACGCACATGTATCTCTTCTACCTCTACTTTCATCCCACCCTACTCATCTGCAAGACAGCCTGGACACCACTCATTTCAAGAAGCGTTTTCTAATTGCCACCGTCTGGACCAGATATGATCTCCTCACTCCACCCACATGTCACGTGCTGTGCCCTGTACAAGGGATATATAAAATACACGAAAGTTGGTGGTAACATTACTGCAACGTATTAAAACCAAGGCACCGTATGTGTGTCTTTCTCCAACTATCATGTAAGCTCCAACAGAGAAGAAATTGTGTCTTACTATGTTTGCACTTCTAGTGCTGAGTCTAGCAGGTTACTTGTAATTGTTAACTATCTGGTAACAAAAGTACAAGTAATAGCAATAACAACAGCGAACACATATACAGCCCCAAGTATGTACCAGGCACGACTCTAAATATTTTTCTCATTAACTTATATAAGAAAACCTCACATAGCATCTACCTTGACGAAACACCTATAAAGCCCAGTAAAAGCGGGCTAAAGTTTAAAAAAATAGAGTGAAACCTAGTATTTTTTCAAAACCAATAGAAAAGAATACCATCTACATACCTTGACTCCATATTCACAAACTTCTTTTATTTTGTGATGCTTATTTCACATCTTTACTGATAATGACCAAAAAGCAGGCCACCCCTCCTGAGGCTAGAGGCTGAGATACAAGCCATCCACTCATGAAGCTAAAGAAACGTGGAGCCACCCACTCACAAGGATAGAGAGACGTGGGGCCATCCACTCGTGAGGCTAGAGAGACGTGGGGCCATCCACTCACGAAGCTAGAGAGACGTGGAGCCACCCACTCACAAGGCTAGAGAGACGCGGGGCCACCCACTCACGAGGATAGAGAGACGCGGGGCCACCCACTCGTGAGCGTAGAGAGACGCGGGGCCACCCACTCGTGAGCGTAGAGAGACGCGGGGACACCCACTCGTGAGGGTAGAGAGAT